GTGACAGAGTCTGGAGGCGCCGTGGAGAACGTTCTGCTGCCTGCAACATCCTCCAGCATGACCGGTTTGGCGGTGGGTCAGTCATGGTGTGGGGTGGCATTTCTTTGGGGGGCCGCACAGCCCTCCATGTACTCGCCAGAGGTAGCCTGACTGCCATTAGGTACCGAGATGAGATCCTCAGACCCCTTGTGAGACCATATGCTGGTGCGGTTGGCCCTGGGTTCCTCCTAATGCAAGACAATGCTAGACCTCATGTGGCTGGAGTGTGTCAGCAGTTCCTGCAAGAGGAAAGCATCGATGCTATGGACTGCCCGTTCCCCAGACCTGAATCCAATTGAGCACATCTGGGACATCATGTCTCGCTCCATCCACCAACGCCACGTTGCACCACAGAGTTGGCGGATGCTTTAGTCCAGGTCTGGGAGGAGATCCCTCAGGAGACCATCCGCCACCTCATCAGGAGCATGCCCAGGCGTTGTAGGGAGGTCATACAGGCACGTGTAGGCCACACACACTACTGAGCCTCATTTTGACTTGTTTTAAGGACATTATATCAAAGTTGGATCAGCCTGTAGTGTGGTTTTCCACTTTAATTTTGAGTGTGACTCCAAATCCAGACCTCCATGGGTTGATAAATTTGATTTCCATTGATAATTGTGTGATTTTGTTGTCAGCACATTCAACTATGTAAAGAAAAAAGTATTTCATAAGATTATTTCATTCATTCAGATATAGGATGTGTTATTTTAGTGTTCCCTTTATTTTTTTGAGCAGTGTACATTAGTATAGTACTACCAAAGTTCAAATTCAGGTATTTCGTTTTACTGCCCCCTACTGGTAGGTCTATTACAGCATTGTCTCCCCACAGAGTTGCCTCACCCAATTCTCTGATGTCTTACCTCCTCGTCACCCCTCTCTGGTAGGGGTGGGAGGGACAGGGTCAGTGAAGGGTAGTCAAGGCAGTCATTAGAGGTATTCTGGCAGGTAGACAGCCCATCTCTCATATTGGCTGGATCTTCCATCAATATCAAAGACTAACATTGGCATAGAAAGACACACACATAGACGTATAGATAGGCAGATAGAGCACAACTTCCACACCCACCCATTTATAACACACAGACACACATATACTGTATATCTAAGTCTCTAATCATGTTCTCCAAGCCGTTGACAGAAAATGTATCCATGAAATGAGGTTGGTAGCTGAATCGTGAATGAGGGGGATGAGGGTTCATTGTTTGCTCGTATTCCAAGACCTCTGATTCCAAGAGGACATGAGTTGAAATTACTTAGTCAAACTAATAGTGCCCTCATATGGTGAAATGAAATAATGCAGACAGTAAGTAGAGGACATTAAATACACTACTTCATTCACCTATAATGATACTATCATGGTATACAGTACAATGGTTTTAAGCTTAAGTACAGTGGGGAGAACAAGTAGTTTTCCTACTTACAAAGCATGTAGAGGTCTGTAATTTTTATCATAGGTACACTTCAACTGTGAGAGATGGAAAAAATCCAGAAAATCACATTGTATGATTTTTAAGTAATTCATTTGCATTTTATTGCATGACATAAGTATTTGATCACCTACCAACCAGTAAGAATTCCGGCTCTCACAGACCTGTTAGTTTTTCTTTAAGAAACCCTCCTGTTCTCCACTCATTACCTGTATTAACTGCACCTGTTTGAACTCGTTACCTGTATAAAAGACACTGTCCACACACTCAATCAAACAGACTCCAACCTCTCCACAATGGCCAAGACCAGAGAGCTGTGTAAGGACATCAGGGATAAAATTGTAGACCTGCACAAGGCTGGGATGGGCTACAGGACAATAGGCAAGCAGCTTGGTGAGAAGGCAACAACTGTTGGCGCAATTATTAGAAAATGGAAGAAGTTTAAGATGACGGTCAATCACCCTCGGTCTGGGGCTCCATGCAAGATCTCACCTCGTGGGGCATCAATGATCATGAGGAAGGTGAGGGATCAGCCCAGAACTACACGGCAGGACCTGGTCAATGACCTGAAGAGAGCTGGGACCACAGTCTCAAAGAAAACCATTAGTAACACACTACGCCGTCATGGATTATAATCCTGCAGCGCACGCAAGGTCCCCCTGCTCAAGCCAACGCATGTCCAGGCCCGTCTGAAGTTTGCCAATGACCATCTGGATGATCCAGAGGAGGAATGGGAGAAGGTAATGTGGTCTGATGAGACAAAAATAGAGCTTTTTGGTCTAAACTCCACTCGCCGTGTTTGGAGGAAGAAGAAGGATGAGTACAACCCCAAGAACACCATCCCAACCGTGAAGCATGGAGGTGGAAACATCATTCTTTGGGGATACTTTTCTGCAAAGGGGACAGGACGACTGCACCGTATTGAAGGGAGGATGGATGGGGCCATGTATCGCGAGATCTTGGCCAACAACCTCCTTCCATCAGTAAGAGCATTGAAGATGGGTCGTGGCTGGGTCTTCCAGCATGACAACAACCCGAAACAAACAGCCAGGGCAACTAAGGAGTGGCTCCGTAAGAAGCATCTCAAGGTTCTGGAGTGGCCTAGCCAGTCTCCAGACTTGAACCCAATAAAAAAATCTTTGAAGGGAGCTGAAAGTATATACAGTGACAGCCCCGAAACCTGAAGGATCTGGAGAAGGTCTGTATGGAGGAGTGGGCCAAAATCCCTGCTGCAGTGTGTGCAAACCTGGTCAAGACCTACAGGAAACGTATGATCTCTGTAATTGCAAACAAAGGTTTCTGTACCAAATATTAAGTTCTGCTTTTCTGATGTATCAAATACTTATGTCATGCAATAAAATGCAAATGAATTACTTAAAAATCATACAATGTGATTTTCTGGATTTTTGTTTTAGATTCCGTCTCTCACAGTTGAAGTGTACCTATGATAAATATTACAGACCTCTACATGCTTTGTAAGTAGGAAAACCTGCAAAATTGCAGTGTATCAAATACTTGTTCTCCCCACTGTATATGCATACCACAATAAAATGACTAAACTAAAGTATAAGGCCTACCACAAAATGCAATGGCATAAACTGAAGTCATTTACATCACCTGAGCAATTTTGCATAAAAAACATACAGTATATCAGATGCTGCTACCAATAAATTGGTTTATAGCCTTTAGTGTGATAATCTATAATGCGCCTAAAGGTACACACAATGTAATCTTATGTGTTATGCTTAATATAGTGATTGGTTCTGTATGCTGTACGGTCACTGTGTAGATAATTCCATTGTCAGAATGTGTGATTTATCTGGATATTGAAATGTAGTTGACAAGATTACCTTTTTCATAGCACATTTATTTACATTAAAGTATTATCATCAAAACATACACCAGATTCCACTCACCATGCCACTCAACACAAATATCTGTTCATGAGCAAAACCAACCAGTTAGTTTTGTTAAATATCTTGTTACCACTTAAATCTGCATTTAACGAAACACGTTTTGCGGAGCAGATACATGTCCTATTCTCTTCTTCTTACAATGTATTTTTTCCTAAAATATTTATTACCAAGTTAGTAAAACATGCAAAGCAAAAGTTCATTATATAAGATATGAAAAATATGATGCAAAATGAAAACATGAAGATTTACAGAAGTAAAACACTTCCTAGAAGCAGAACAGAAAAAACATACTTGGTATGGAAAACAAGAGCTACAATACTGGTTGAAAAGCAACATATGACAAAGCTTCAAAATCATTTTTGCAAAAGAAATATGTAAAATGTAGCAAATTGTCTCAAAATGTATTCATCCTATAAAATATGTACATTCATTTAATGTAATATCAGATCATATATTGCAATGTCATCTCAGCAACTATTTACTTTGGTTTTGACTGATGTTACATTGATGTTGCTTACAGAAATGAAGATTACATTGCATTTCATGGGGCTGACCTTGTGAAAGTCCATAGTGATGTGTACATGTAAAGTGGTGTAATCCAAAATAGGGGAATTATGATCAATGTTCAAGTAAGAATGTTGGACAAAAGTTTTTTCCTAGTATGGTATCCCAGGGAGACTTCAGGGGTCACAAGCCTCAACTGTCTTCAAAAATGAGGGATGTGCAATGGAAGAAAGGTACTCAATGGCAGATCTAAAAACAAAAACAAAATAATAATTTTGAGACAACAAAACCAACAACTGTTAAAAAAAAGCAAAAAGAATTATAATGCAAACAAATAAATAAATTGCACATGTATTTGATGATTTAATGCATTATTTGGTGGATGATGAATTTACCTGAAGTTCTGGATGGTGAAGCTGTTGAATTGGGATACCGTCCCTGTTAAGAGACTCATCAGCCACACCCATCTGAGAATCTGCACATCCCCATCGAATTCTGATGGAATGAGATATCTGTCAAAAAAGGGAATCAATCATCTTAAAATACTGAGGTGAAAAAAGGCATGATCATAATCATCCAACTGATAAAAACGTTTGATAGCGCTTTCTTCCAAACTAGCATTGAAATACTAGTGATAAGGGGGGAAAGAGAAAAAACAGAATTAGAGGAGAGTAAAGGAGGAGTGTGGCTGTGATTAAATGGATACAAAGAAAGTACATTACAAAATGACATTACTAAATTACAAATCAGCAAACTGATTTCAACTTACAAGAACCAAAACAACATCCAGGATGCAGATCTTTGCCTCTGTCAGAGGAAGCATGGTGAAGACTGACATCTTCTTAGGGCAGTCTACCAGGAACACTTGACAAGAGGTAAATGGCGGGTGTAGTAGTCCATAATGATGGGTATAATGGTTCATAACTTTGGAGTGGGTGATTAAAGAATAAGGTGATGACTTGGGGCATGGGCCTGTCCACTGAACAGAACGGGAAATGTTGGCTGGGATGTTGGCAGGGAAGCAGTTCATTAAACTTTGAATGTTGCAGTCTTCTTCCAGTGTTTATGTAGTGTTTTTTTATTCTGCTCTGCAACTATTTGTTTTACTTTGCCAGATAACATATTTCACAAAAAAATAAAAAAATAAAAATAAAGGTCAAACTTTTTTTTTTATCTGCTAAAAGCGTTACTATAGAATCTATGTTGGCATATTTCATAGGATATTGTCAAACATATAAAAGAAATAGAGGACAAAAATATTCTTATGTTTAAAAAGAAAAAGAAAACTGGAAAGATATATCTGTTCGAAGTACATATACATTTATTAGTTTCGGAAAGCTTAAGTATACAAGTTGTGTTAACGCAAACTAAAAAAATCAGTTGTGGTCATGAAGTAAAAACTAAATCTGATACTTTTCTCTTAAAATATAAATTGACATTCAATTGATCTAATAATTTTAAGAAATTAAGGCTGGAGAGATATGGCATTGTTTTGGACATCTATATGAGGAATTGCATTTAATTACTTCCAGCCATTTGCTAATGTGACCACATGAGGAGCAGAATAAATTAATTATTTGTTTTTCAAATGTCAAACTATTTTTCCTATAAATTATGCAACTGTGGTATGCATTGGCATCATCATTGGGAAGGCTCGTTGTTCTTCTGAGCTGCATGGCCTGATCATTGCTAGAGCCGTAAGGGCTTGGGCTAGCTCATCCATGTTGAGCCCATTATGAGGTCCTGCATCATATCTGCGGCCACCGTAACTGCTGGAGCTGGTGTAGGAGGAGGATGAGAAGTTCATGCTAAATCCGGAACCTGTAGCATCAAAGCTGCCTCTTCTGGATCCTGTTCTGGATCCAGTCCTGGACCCGGACCGGGAGCCAGCGGCAGACCCGGAATTGCTGGCATTGTATGGGCTGTACAGCCCTTTGCTTGACTGTGAGGAGGCCTCCAGCAGTCGCAGGCCAGATCCTTCCTCAACCATGCTTCTGTCCATGGCATCTTTGTAAGAGATTTTTAGTTTGGTTTTGGGACATGTCAGGTATTTGGAGTAAGCACTCACATCTCTCAGCTTCTGAGCAGTGCGAGCATCAATTGTGCCCTTTCTGATGGATTCGTCCAGTGAGACTCTGCCCTCAACATCCGGTTCAATCAGGCCCCCCGTAAGGTATTGGACTTCCAGAAAACGTTGCCCAGCTTCATAATACAGCCAGCCTTTCTTTAGAGCTTGGGAGGCAGACATCTTCACTTTGGTTCTTGGGTCCTCAAATCCATTGAAAGCTTTGTGAGCCAGGTTGATACGGTCCACCATCACCTTGTCCACAAGCCCTTTCTCGGTTGCCTCAGTAACAGCAAATCGTTCCCCAGTGGTTGGGTCGATTATGCCCCCTGTGCAGGCTTGTGCCTCAAGTAGTCTTTGGCCTGTGATATTGTCCACAAGGTTCCTGTGCATGGCCTCTGTGACTGACACCTTCTCCAAAGTGTCTGTATCCAGGATTCCGGCTACAGGGCCAGTCTCCTCTGTGGGGTCATTCCACATGGTTGCAGGGGGTCTAATGGAGGGTATGGGGCTCATAGGATTGTATGATGATGAGGTGGAACCAGAGGTGGAACCAAAAGAGGATGACCGGGAGCGGAAGCCACCCATGTTTCCAGACAGCATGTCAGCAAACTCAGTGATGGACAGGTTTCCAGAGCGGTATGTACTAAGTGAAGTCTGGTCGATGAGGCCTCGTGCGAGGGCGTCATCAATGTCATACTGTCTTCCAGACCGTCTGTCGATGATCATTGACTTGACAACGCCATCAGAGGATGTCTGTGTGATCTCTTCCCACTCACACTCCTGCTCAGCAAGCTCTAGGTAGGTCTGATGGTCAATGAGCTGCTTTCTGAATGCCTCATAAACAGTCATCTCTTTGCCTGACTCTGGGTCCACGATGACCACTCGGCGTTTGCGGACAGAGGATTTGGAGGATGTCTTTCTCTCGCTCTTCTTCTCCTTCAGGAGCAGGAGGACAAGGCCAGTGGCTGGGTCAGTGATGCACCTCTCCATTAGCCCGAGGTAGGTCAGGTTCTCCTCAGTGTTGGGATCGAAGAAACCCTTGGTGTCATCTGATGGATCTGTGAGAATCTCATTCATCTCCTCGTCGAAGAGGCCACGGTTGTAGGCCACCTCCACTGGCAAGCGATGACTCTCCTCTGGGTCAATGATTCCGCCAGTGGCAATCTGAGCCTCAAGGAGACGTATTCCATGGTCTTTTAAGATGAGCCCCTTCTTCATGGCCTGGAACAGAGAGATTGTCTTGCCGGAATAGGGGTCTCTGTAACCTGTCACGGCACGCTCAGCAGAGAGAAGCTTGTCTTTGAATTCTGGCCCCACTATTCCCATCTTGACAGATTCATTGACAGTAAGTTTGAGATTTTTGATTGGGTCAATTACATAGCCTGTGGCAGCCTGAGCCTCCAGCAGTTCAAAGGCAGTTCCTGGCCTGATCATGTTCTTTTTCATGGCTTGATAGATTGATAGACGGTCATTAGTTCCCTCTACATAAACACCAGCAATACAGCTTGTGCCCTCAAGGTATTTTTGGAGTCTACGGCTAACCTCTTCCACTGAAATCAGACCTTCATTCAGCTCAGTGACCGTCTTTTGGTCGATGATCTGAGAGCGTAACATCTCCTCTATGGTGATCTGTTTTCTAAGACCTTTGAACATCAGCCTCTTGTCTCCCAGTGACAGCAAGCGCATCCCATTGGTAGGGTCGATCTTGCATCTCTTGAGTAATTGGGCATAAGAAAGTTTCTCCTCAGTGACAGGGTCAACGAATCCCTTTACGTCATCAGCAAGCCTTTCATTTGTTTCCTTGTTTATGTATCCTCTCTGTGTGGCAATGTCTGCTGGGAGGTGGAAGTAGAATTCAGGATCCATAATGCCTCCTGTGGCAGTCTGAGCCTCCAACATTTTCAGAGCATACTCCTCCAAAACAAGGTCCTTTTTCATTGCTTGGAAGAGAGATATGATTTTGCCACTGTAAGGGTCCTTGTAGCCTGTGACCGCTCTCTCAGCTGACAGAAGTCTGTCGTGGATCTCAGGGCCGACCACACCCTTGCGGACAGCCTCATCAACAGTGAGTGTCTCATTTCTCACAGGATCAATTATGAATCCTGTTGCTGCTTGTGCTTCCAGGAGACTAAGGGCAATTTCAGGCTTCAAGAAACCTCTCTTCATTGCTGAATAAATGCTCATCCTGGAAGTGGAGTCAGACATGACACCGGCAACGCTGCCCGTGCCAAACAGATACTGCTTCACACTCTGCATCTCCATAATGTCACGGATGTTTCTCTTGTCTTGCTTCAGCAGGTTGAATGTCTCCAGGTCAATAATGCGGGCATTGTAGAGATCCTCGATAGTGACCCTACGTCTGATTGTGTTGCAGGACTTAACAGTTTCACCTCTGATGATCTCTCTCTGCTCCATAATCTCAATAATGATGATGATCATGCGCTCTTTAGTGATACTGCCAGAGCGATACTCCTCCATCAGCTTCTTCCGCTCTTGCTCAGGAAGTAGATTTGAGTTCATGATATCCCAGAGACTTGATGACCCTCCAGCAAGGGACTCAAGTGAACTGGGAAGGTCAATTTGGGTTGTGGCCAGGTCATTCTGCGTCTGTTCCTCTGTGTAGAGGTATGTCTTCTCCACCACAGTAGGGGCCTGTGGCTTGGAAAGTGGTAGAAGGTTCATGCCTGAATCAGGATCTCTAGTGCACTTCTCTTTCAGCTGTTTGTATGTTACTTTATCATCTGAATTGGGGTCTGAGAAAGCTTTGTTATCATCAGATGGTTCCGAGAAGGTGTTTGTCATTTCTTTGCTGAAAAAGCTCTTCTGATAGGCAATGTCAATAGGAACGCGGTGGCTGTTCACAGGATCAATTATCCCTCCTGAACTCAGTTGGGCCTCCAAGAGTGGCATGACATGCTCCTTAATGATTAGACCTTTTTCCATTGCTTGGAAGAGAGAGATTGTTTTGCCCGTGAAGGGATCTTTGTAACCAGTGACTGCTTTTTCAGCAGCGAGCAGTTTCTCATGTAGCTCAGGGCCAACAATGCCTGCTTTAACGGCATCATCCACTGACAGGTACTGGTTCTTCACTGGATCTATAATGAACCCTGTGGCAGCTTGGGCCTCTAGGAGTGACAGGCCTGTGTTGTGTCTCAGAAGATTTTTCTTCATAGCTTGATAGATGCTGATCTTCTCCTTTGTTGGTTCAAGGTAGACACCGGCAATACTGTCAGAGCCCTGCAGGTACTTGCTTACATTGACATTTTTGCTGACCTGTGTAGGTGTCTTTTTGCCTTGTTGGAGCATGTCAAACGTAGCTTTGTCAATGATTTTCGAATCAAAAAGTGACTTGGCAGAGACAGTTGCTCTAAGCCCTTTGAAGCTGTCTTGTTCTTGTTTCTTAGCCTCTTTCTCATTTACAATCGTAATCACAATCTTGATGATCTTTTCTATTGTAATCTTTCCAGACCTATACTGCCTTATCAGGTCAAGTCTCTGTTCCTCTGTAATATATTCAGAGTGGATAATTTCCCAGATTGTGAATTTCTTCCCTTTGAGTGGACCAGACTGCAGCTCCATTGTTGCTTGGCTCATGGCCTCTTTGGTTTGGACCTCTGTATATGTATGCTCTTCCTTTGCATTGATTGCTTGCTCAGACAGAGGTAGAAGCTGAAGCCCAGATTTCTTGTCAGTGACACATCTCTTGTATAGCTGTGAGTATGTGACATTTTCCTGTGTGTTGGGGTCAAAGTAGCCTTTAACATCATCAGTTGGATTATTCAGAATCTGGTTCATTTCATCATCAAAGAAGCCACGTTTACAGGCAACATCATGTGGGATGCGGTGACTTTTCACTGGATCAATGATGCCTCCTGTTGCAAGCTGCGCATCTAGGAGTCTGATGCCCTGATCTTTTGGAATGAGTTCTTTATTCATTGCTTCGAACAAAGACACAGTCTTTCCTGTGTAAGGATCTTTGTAGCCTGTAACACCTCTCTCAGCTGACAGTAGTTTTTCATGCAGCTCAGGACCAATGACAGTTGCTTTCACAGCTTCATCGACAGTGAACTTCTGATTCTTTACAGGATCAACAACAAATCCTGTTCCTGCTTGTGCTTCCAGGAGAGTTAAAGCAGGCCCTGTCCTCATCATATCCTTCTTCATGGCTTGATAGAAAGACATAGTCTCCTTAGTTGAATCAATAACTACACCTGCAATGCAGTTTGTACCCTTCAAGGATTTGTGAACATGCTCCATTTCAGACACCTCTTTGATTGTTTTAATGCCTGTGTGCAGCTTATTGTTGAGGTCTTTGTCGATTATCTTGGACTCCAGTAGTTCAGTAGCAAGGACAGGTCCCCTCAGACCCTCAAAAGCGATTTCATTCTTTTTTTCCTTTTCCTCTGCCATAGTGATAACAATCTTGATGATTTTTTCCACTGTGATCTTTCCTGTCTTGTACTGACGAATAAGGTCCTTTCTCTGGTCCTCGGTAAAGTACTCAGAATTGATGATTTCCCAGATAGTTACAGTCTTTCCTTTGAATTTTCCAAATGGCACAGTGACAGTCGTCTTGCTGAACACATCCTTGGTCTCCTCCTCTGTGTAGGTTGACGTGCTCAGAGCAGCCTTGTCAGTGATGGGCAAGAGCAGCAGTCCTGTCTCCGGATCTGTGCTGCATCTCTGCATTAGCTGAAGGTATGTTAAGTTCTCCTGGGTGTTAGGATCAAAGAATCCCTTGGTGTCATCTGAAGGGTCCTCCAGTATCTTGTTCATCTCAGTGTCAAACTGCCCCTGTTTGTATGCAGTCTCGATGGGCACACGGTGGCTGTTTATGGGGTCAATGAGTCCACCAGTAGCTATCTGAGCCTCAAGCTGCCTGATGGCATGGTCTCTGTCAATCAAGCCCTTCTTCATAGCTTCAAAGAGTGAGATCTTGTTACCGGTGTAAGGGTCTTTGTAACCAGTGACAGCTCTCTCAGCAGACAGCATTTTGTTGTGCAGTTCAGGTCCGATCAGGCCTTCCTTCACAGCCTCACTGACAGAGAGTTTCTTGTTTTTAACTGGGTCTACTACATAGCCAGATGCTGCCTGTGCCTCCAGGAGGATCAAAGCCCAGCCAGGAGTAATTTTCTTTTCTTTCATAGCTTGATATATTGCCATTTTCTGATTAGACTGTGTCAAGACACCCCCTATACAGTTCTTGCCCTGCAGAATTGTTCTTAACTTGTCAGTCTGGCTGAGGTCTTGCACAGTGGTTTTTGCCTTTCTTCAGCTTATCAAACTCCTTTTTCGTCAAAAGGCCAACTTCATAAAGTCTGCTTGCAGGTACTTTCTCGCGGATGCCATCAAAAGACAGTGTATCCTTCTTACTGTCAACCTCATCTCCAACACTTCGGCCATTGATAACCTGCTTTGTTGTCTCCACCATGGTCATATGGATCAGTTCATCCTCAGGCACATCGTCAGTCTGGATATCAATTTCTCTGGTGTGGGAGATTGGCTCTTTATGGGCGACCTCGAGCTGCTGCAGTTTCTCACGAAGTTTCTTGTTCTCCTCGCCAAGCAGCTTTTCCTGTTCAAGTCTTTTCCTTTCAAGCTCCTGCATCTCTTTTTGCTTGTTGAGCATTTCTTTCTCAGCCTCTTTTTGTTTGTTGAGGGCAGCATCCATGGTAGCCTGAAGTTTATTTTTCTCCTCCTCCATTTGTTTCCTCTGGCGTTCCTGTTCTTCTTTGAGGGCCTTGGCCTTCTTGACCTCCTCCTCAAACTGGTTCTCCAGCTTCTTCTTCTCATCTTCAATTTGTTTCTCCTTCTTCAACAGCTCCGCCTTCTCTGTGATGAATGTCTGCTGGAGTACTGTCTTCTCGTGTTGGATTTGTTTCTGCTGAGCATTGACCATCTAATTGAGATAAAAGGGAAAACAAGAACATAATTAGAACAATAGGAGTTTCATTTGTATTTAAAATATTCTGAAAACTCCATCAATCCACATATTGTGCACTATAGTAAAAAAATGACAACATTTTAGTACAATGCAATCCACTTAAAAGAATCAGTCCCAAATTGTTTTAAAAATATATATTAGATGTAATTATTCCTATGTTACATAATAATATATACTCTTCTCAGTAAGGGAAGAACATTATGGGGAACACCACCAATAATTAATCTATACTTTTGTCCAACTGGACAAACTGAAAATATCTGGAAGGGATAGGATCTTTTTAAGCTTAGTTTACTGTAATACAAATATAACTCAAAATAATATAACTGTGTAAGTGGTTAATTTTAAGAAGAAGGAATAGATAAAGAAATTGAATGAAATAATTTAAGATTGTTCGTTTTCAGAGAGAGGGTTAACAATGACAAAAGCTGCACTACTATGCCATCTCTAACACAATACCTCTTTAGAGTTATTCTGTAGGTCTTCAGCCTCCTTTTTCAGCTTGGCCTTCTCCTTTTCTAGATCAGCGATGGCTTTGCGTAGCTCATCAGCTTCTTTGTTGCTGCTCAGTCTCTGGACTTCAAGTTTTTCCACAACAGTCAATTTCTCTTTAGTCGCTAGCTCTGTCTGGTGAAGACGGGCACTGATCTCATCTGCTTGCTTCTTGAATTTCTTGGCCTCATTCTCTGCTTTGGACTGAGCATCACTAAGTTGGGACACCTTGACTTTGAGGTTTTCAGCTTCGGCTGTGATCTCCAACTGTCTCCTGCGCTCAGCTTCTAAGGATTTCTGGAAGCCCTCAGTCTCTTCCTCAAGACGCTGCTGCATCAGTTGTTTATCCTCAAGCAGCTTCTGGGCCTGCTCTTGAGCCAGGTCCTTCTGTCTTTGGAGCATCTCAGCCTCTGCTTTCAGTTTACATGCTTCCTGAATGGCAAGCATCTTCTCCTTTAGCATCTTCTCTGCAAGTGCCCTCTGTTGGGAGAGGTCAGATTCAGCAATTTGTCTCATGTGTGCAGCCTCCTGGGCTTCCACACTGAGTCTGGCAGCTTCTTCTGCAAGCTTCTTCATGTTCTCAGCTTCCTCAGCAAGGAATTTCTGAGTGTTATCCTTGTCCTTTTTGATAAGACGCTGGTTCTCCTGCTCAATTCTGAGTTTCAGTTTGACCAGCTCCTCCATCTGAATCTTGACTTTGAATAACTCCTCTTCCACCTGGGCCTTCTGCTTGACCGCATCACCGACTTCGTCCTTTAAGCGCTGCAGCTCCTCGTCTAAGACAGATTTTTGCTTGTCAGTTTCATCCAGCTGAAGCCTGACCTTTGTGAGCTCTTTCTCTACCTGAGACTTTTGACTCATTGTTTGCTCTGCAAGCTTTTTGTGCTTTGCCATCTCAGCATCTGCTTGTTGTTTCTGTTTGATTGCATCTGCCTCAGCCTGTGCTCGCTTGGCAGCTTCGAACTCTGCCTCCTTTCTCAATTTCACGGCTTCCACTTGAGCTTTGGCTTGGTTGGCAGCTTCGAGTTCAGCGGCCTGTTTTTGGCGTTCTGCATCCTCCGCTTGTTGCCGGAGAAGCGCAGCCTCCTTCTCTGCCCTTTCCTTGGCAAGCTCTGCCTGTTTTGCAAGCATCTTGGCTTTCTCATACTCTTCCTTGAGCTGTGTCTGCATGATGTTGTCCTCCTTCTGTTGGACAAGGACACTCTGAACTTGCTGTTCAGCTGCATTGCATTTTTGTGCTGCTTGTTTGGCTACTAGAATCTGTCTTTCTGCTTCCTTGTCAGCATCCTCTTTCTGCTTTTTGGCTTCATCTGCTTTCTTTTTGAGGCGTGCCACTTCCTCCTGTGCATTTTTGCACTGTCTGCCTGCTTCTTCCTCTGCAGCAGTGATCTTTTTCACCTTTTCCTCTGCTTCGCGTCTGCGTTTCTCCTCCTCCAGGGCAAGTTTTCTGTGTTTCTCAGCCTCTTTTTCAGCTTGGAGTTTACTCTGCTGTGTTTCCTCTGCAATGTTTTTCAGTTTATTCAACTCCAGCTCCAAATCAAGCTTGCCAGATGAGGCTTTCTCAAAGTTTAGCTTGAGAATGCGAATTTCCTCCTCAACCACTCGTCTCTGCTTGAGAGTTTCATCTACAAGTGTCTTTTGTCTTCCCAACTCATTCTCAGATGACTTCTTGAGTTGATTGATCTTTTCTTCAATATCTTGCTTGTGCTGGCTGGCTTGGTCCTCCAGAGCTTTCCTCTGGTAAGCCTCATCCTCAGCTTGTCGTCTGAGTCGCTCATTCTCTGCCTCTTTTTCTTTGAGGGCAATTTCTGCTTCAGTCTTCATTCGAGTTGCCTCGTTAATGGCAGCAAGCTTCTCTTTGAGGATCCTTTCAGCTTCTGCTCTTTGACGAGCCGCCTCTTGCTCAGCAACTTGCCTTTGTCGCTTGGCTTCCTCAGCGATGGATCTAAGTTTGCCTGCCTCCTCAGCAAGGTCCCTCATTTTTGCAGCTTCAGATTCGAGGAGCTGTTTGCTCTTCTCAGTGTTGGACATGCTCTCCTTTTCTGCCTTGGACTTCAGCTGCAGGAGTACATTCATTTCACTCCTCACTTTGACCAGTTCATCTTCGAGCTGTTTCCTTTGCTGCTCAGCTGCACTGACTTCATTCTTCAGGCGGTACAGCTCGTCATCAAGCAGGGTTCTCTGTTGCTCAGCATGGTCGAAGTCTGCCCTTAGCCGGATTAACTCCTGTTCTGCTGAGAGTTTCTGCTGAGCTGTTCCCTCAGCTATCCTCCTCTGCCTCTCCAGCTCTTGCTCTGCCATATCTTTCTGTTTCAGTGCGGACTCCTCAGCTTTAGCCCTCTTCCTGGCCTCACGCTCAGCATCCTCCTTCTGTTTCTCGGCATCCTCCTGGGCACGACTCTTTTTGTGAGCTTCTTCCTCAGCCTGGAGCCTTAAGCGGAGTGCCTCATTGGCCTTCTGCCTCCATTTCTCTAACTCCTTCTCCGCCTCCTCCCTGGCCATATCTGCCTCTTCCTGTTGCTTCTTGAGACGAGCTGCCTCCTCCTGCAGCTGGATGACAGTGACATGCTCTAGTTTGAGTGATTCCTCCAGCTTGGATGTCTTTTCAACATAGGACATGCGTTTGCTCTGGAGTTCGGTGGCAGCACTCTTCTGTGCCACCTCCTGGGCAACCTTGATCTGCCTCTCCTTCTCCACTTCAGCTTGCTTCATGCGTCTCTCCGCCTCCTCCGCCTGCATCTTCAGCTTCTCAAGGTCTTCCAGAGCCTTCTGCTTCTGCTTGGCAGCCTCCTTCTCAGCCTCAGACTTGACCTTGAGCTCTTCCTCGGCCTTGCGTTTTTTCTGGGTCTCCTCGTTGACCTGTTTGCGGAGCTTCTCAGCCTCCTCCTGTGCAAGCTTCCTCAGCCTCTCGGCTTCAGACGCTTTTTCCCGGAGTTGCTTGAGCTCATCCTCAGCTGTAGACTTCTGTTTGACAGTGGTCTCCAGCTGGATCCTGATGACACGGATTTCCTCCTCAATCTTGGCTCTGCTCTGATTGGCATCTTCTACCTGTTGACTCTTGGACTTGATCTGCTGCTCTGAGAGGTTTTTGAGCTCATGTAGTTCCAGCTGGATATTGTGCTTTTGCTTTTCTGCATCTACAGAAACAACTTGTCTCCTGCTGACTTCCTCCTGCATCATGAGCTTCAGCTCTTGAGCCTCTTGCTCTGCCTTGGCAATGGCCTTTGCATGAGATTCAGCTAGCTGCTTCTGTTTGTTTAACTCCGCCTGCATCTCTGCCATTTTTTTCCTGTCTTCCGCTTTCATTTTCTCAGTAGCTTTCTGTATTAGTGGAAGCAAATGGTAAAGAAAATATAAGAATTAAGCATGACAGGTTAAATGTTAATGTTAATAGTTAGCTTAAAGATAGATACGTGTTTAGATGTCAATTCATTCAGGAGGCCGCTGTTAAAGCAAGTTATCTTCCGACAAAGACAATACAAGGCAGAAACAAGTAAGATGGAAAATGGTTATGTAAAAATGTATGGAGACAAGACATCACTTCACAACAAAACAAAGTGAGGAACTCATGTGGCATGGAACTGTATCTTTTTCAATATTGGTGTCCTTAAGGGAATTATTTTGTGATAAAACATTTTGCATAAGTGAAATAGTAAAGTTAATAATGTATTTTTAATCATCTATTTTCAGCTTGAAATTATTCAAACAAAGTTATTATTCAAAAATCACATAATAATCAACCAGTAACTAGTTAGTTGAAATACATCTATTCACACTGTTAAACAACCTATTATGTTTTCTTGCATAACAATGAAAGGGATTCTTTAGATCACTATTATCAAGGAACTAAGCAAAATATGTGCAACGGGGAAAGCAGGGATAGTGCAAGGATAGTCTGAAAATGTAATAAGAAAATAGCACCTATAGCCCATGCTAACACAGAATAAACAAGACATGGAAATAAGTGAATGTAAGATAAATATGGAAATGTTTGACAGTTTAGGTGATGAATTGAAGGCTGAGGGTATGGAAGGTAAGGCACATAATGAGAGAATAGTAACTGGAGAGTAGTTGATTATTTACCTCTTTAACGCCCAAACAAGATAAGCATTCATCATGACAAAGCACTGGCAAGCAGTTAAGAGAAGCAAAGAAAACAAACAAAACATTAGGGTTAGAAAAGAACGGGAGACGGAAAATTTGTGTTAATCTGAAAAAAGGAAAGTTGAAGAACATGGCAGTCAGCCGCATACAGTGCGAGAGCTTAGATTGAGATCTAAGAAAGAGTGGCCAATGAGAAAAAAGACAGTGAAAGAAAGAACGCCCTTTAAAAATAAATATTATGGCATGAAAATGAATAGGCCAAAATACAAATGTGCAAAACCTAATTGTTCAGTTTTAGAGAGACTATCTTCTAACCCACTGGAATTTCCTCTCAATGGTCTCTTAATCTTTTGAGGGTGCTCTCTTTCTTTTGCTTCAGACTGAACATAAACGTTTCATCAATTCATTGAATTTTGTGACAAGGCCACTACTGCTTATCGAAACAGGATGCAATGGTCCAATGGTCCTGGATATTTTAAGGCACCGTAAAAAATGAATATGACACTCCAGCCATATACTAATATACAGTGCATTCAGAAAGTATTCAGACCACTTGACTTTTTCCACATTTTGTTACGTTACAGCCTTATTCTGAAATGGATTAAATTGTTTTTTCCCCCCTCATCAATCGATACACAATATCCCATAATGACAAAGCAAAAATATCACATTTACATAAGTATTCAGACCCTTTACTCAGTACTTTATTGAAGCACCTTTGGCAGCGATTACAGCCTTGAGTCTTCTTGGGTATGACGTTACAAGCTTGGCACACCTGTATTTGGGGAGTTTCTCCCATTCTTCTCTGCAGATCCTCTCAAGCTCTGTCAGGTTGGATGCACAGCTATTTTCAGGTCTCTCCAGAGATGTTCGATCGGGTTCAAGTCCGGGCTCTGGCTGGGCCACTCAAGGACATTTAGAGACTTGTCCAGAAGCCACTCCTGCATTGTCTTGGCTGTGTGCTTAGGGTCGTTGTTCTGTTGGAAGGTGAACCTTTGCCCCAGTCTAAGGTCCTGAGCGCTCTGGAGCAGGTTTTCATCAAGGATCTCTCTGTACATTGCTCCGTTCATCTTTCCCTCGATCCTGACTAGTGTCCCAGTCTATGCCGCTGAAAAACATCCCCACAGTAGGATGCTGCCACCACCATGCTTCACCGTAGGGATGGTGCCAGGTTTCCTCCAGACGTGACGCTTGGCATTCAGGCCAAACAGTTCAATCTTGGTTTCAGCAGACCAGAGAATCTCCACGTGGGCTGTCATGTGCCTTTTACTTCCGTCTGGCCACTCTTCCATAAAGGCCTGATTGGTGGAGTGCTGCAGAGATGGTTGTCCTTCTGGAAGGTTCTCCCATCTCCACAGAGGAACTCTGGAAATCTGTCAGAGTGACCATAGGGTTCTTGGTCACCTCCCTGACCAAGGCCTTTCTCCCCCGATTGCTCAGTTTGGCCGGGCGGCCAGCTCTAGGAAGAGTCTTGGTGGTTCCAAACTTCTTCCATTTAAGAATGATGGAGGACACTGTGTTCTTGGGGACCTTCAATGCTGCAAAACATTTGTTGTACCCTTCCCAAGGTCTTTGCCTCGATACAATCCTGTCTAGGAGCTCTACGGACAATTCCTTTGACCTCATGGCTTGGTTTTTGCCTGTGGGACCTTATATAGACAAGTGTGTGCCTTTCCAAATCATGTCCAATCAATTGAATTTACCACAGGTGGACTCCAATCAAGTTGTAGAAACATCTCAAGGATGATCAATGGAAACAGGATTAACCTTAGCTCAATTTCGAGTCTCATAGCAAAGGGTCTGAATACTTATGTAAATAAGCTTTTTTTTTATTCATGTTTTTATTTTTTAGCAAACGTTTAGACAAACCTGTTTTCGCTTTGTCATTATGGGGTATTGTGAGTAGATTGATGAGGAACAAAAATGTATTTAATCCATTTTAGAATAAGGCTGTAACGTAACAAAATGTGGAAAAAGTCAAGGGGTCTGAATTCTTTCTGAATGCACTGATAGTCCCTGGTTCCCATCTGAGGACCATGACACTTAGCACTAGGATTATTTTTGGTAGAGCGTTCATATTTGCCGAATAGATAAGCTTGGCCATCATTGTAAGTGATAGGATTTCCTGTCTGCTAGGTGCCCTTACATCCTGCAGCTACAGTACAGCACGCCAATGCCAATTTTCCAAATCATACTTTACCTCAAAATGAAGGAATGTCAAGTCAACCATACATTAATGTGTGTGTATGCATTTGTGCGTGCAAGAGAGTGGTCATGCGTTTGTTTTTCATTGGTTGTCAATGGGTTAGGGTTAGGATATCCCAGTGTGTTGTCACGCACCTCCTCGTCCTCCAGGCGGCGCTGTGTGTCGGTGATAAACTTGATGTACTGACTGGTCAGAGTCATCAGCTCGCTGTAGCGGGTTCTTAGCGTCACATACTGATGGAGAAGAAATAAAACAGGAAACCTTTGATTTAGTGTGTGTTGGCTTAAACTATTGATCTAAACTTTTCTCCAAACATTGCAAATGGTTGTCAGGGAATGACAATGTGCGTTCAGATTACACAAGTGGCACAGACCTCTTGAATGATGTTATCTGAGGCAGAATCCATTTTGGTTTTCTTCAGGGGTGAGAGAGGCTCCACCTGTGCTTTGTAGGCCACTAACTGGAGTTCATAATCCTAATAAAAAGAAACAGGATGTTTTAACACTAAACACTATGAAATTAAGACATTTAAATAAAGCTGTATATGAATGCAATAATGGTTTTCACGTTTGTGGACACTAATGTTGTGCATGCTTACCTTGATAGTGTCGATATACGCCTTGGCATATTTCTGACACTCGTCAACTTTCTCTTTGTTTTGCTCGATCTCTTCCAGAAGTTTCTATGTTGGGGGAAATAATCAGAATTAGTCTGGATGTGATTTCAAGGTGTGCCTGTATATGTTCAATAATGAGAACTACACAAAACACACCTTTATAACATTCATAGTCTCATAAGTAGTATACAAAATAAGAAGTATAAAAAAGGTGTCAATGACTTATTTTCACAAAGTCTCAGAATGTTCAGTTAATCAGCTAAGCACCTAGAGCAGTGTAGTGATGTAATGGACCCCTAATATGCCCCCATCAGTACAGTAGCCTACCTTCTCCTGGGCTAGTTGCTCCTTTAGAGTCTTGCTGTCGCTGATGGACACAGCCTGGATCTTCTCCTGCCTCTGCTTGGCGCCACCAATCCACTGGATGAGCCAGTCGTAGCTCTCTCTGTAGTACCCCAGCTGGCGACCTAGCTGCTCCAGCTCCCGCCGACGCAGGTCCATCTGGGCGAACACAGCCTGCCAGCGGTCCTGGAGACCCGACAGGAGATGGCGGTAGTGGTCCAGCTCAGAGTCACGCTCACTGTGCACACGAGACATCTTCTCGCTCACGGCTGCTGCCTTTCCGAGCTCGCCCTCCAGAGAATCGAATGCAGGCTTTTCGCCCTCTGCTTCAGCACGCATTTTCTACAGGGAAAGAGACGGGAAGGAAGAGCAACAGTCAAAAAAAATCATGGAGAAAGTTACAGTTCTTCACAGAAGCATGTTATGCATGGACTCTTGTGTTTCATCACGTAAACAGTTTTCCCCTCTTTTTAAACCTGCCTTGTTTCCATGTTCATAATCCAATGATACATATAAAACGCAAAAAATAATGAGCGTTGGCAGTCGAGAAACCCGTAATGAATCCCACACAGTTCATTAACGTCCCAGAGCGCATGTGTTTTTAATGTCATAAACATCACAATCGAACTACTGAGTTGCATTTATGCAAAAGCCTCTCCAGCTCCCCGGCTTGGAAAAAGCGGAGACCAACTGTGTCATACAACAGGAGGTAAGTGTTGAGAGAACTGAGAACAGAAGCCTGGTTGTTCAGTGTAAACAAGAATAAAGGCTGAGGCTGTGCCCAGTGCTGTCCAGTCAACTCACCTTGAGCTGGGTGCGGTACATCTCCACCTCCTTGACGTCATTGGGCACAGTTTGGACCTCGCGCAGTCGTTCCTCATACTTCTTCAGCACGCCCTCGGCCACCTGCGTGTTGCGGATGACCACGTCCACCGTCTTCAGCCTGAGGCAAGGAAAAGGAAATGTCAGTGGAGGAGGGATGGATGGGAAGTGGTGTGGGAGATTTAAGAAAAATAGCCTACAATGGGTTTTCCCTATGCTGCTTAAATAGAATGTTGTATTTTCACTTGCTTGTTTGTTGCTTTTTTTAGGGCAATAAGAACCTCCAAAATGGCTACTGGCTACAGAAAGAAAACAGACAAGTCAACTCACTTCTCTAGATAGACAGAGGAGAGGATGTAGACATGGTCCATCTTCTTCAGGGTGAACTCCAGTTCAGAGCGCAGGACGGGGGCAGTGCTGGACTGCTGAGGAGCGGTACTCAGGACCTCCTCGGTCTTCACGGCCACCTGGTCCAGGTTCTTCTTGATACCCTCAAGCTCCACTTGGACTTTCTGAAACAGGAGAAAAACAAGCACATGACGATTAAGATAAAGAAAGGACAAATAGCAAAACAAAGAGAGAAAACCTCCTCTGATTAAAAACTTCCACCGACTATCATAATGCTGAATCCCTCTATCAGGTCCAAGGAAGCAGTGTGTTCCTGAGCCTGACCTGTGTGTGGCTTCTCTGGGTGAGGAGCTGCCAGGGGTCTTGGTGGAGTAGCAGAGAAAGGATCCCCACTAGGCCCAGAGCCAGCAGGGTCCAGAGGAGCTGGAGCAGCAGGCTGGGCAGTGGGCCTTCTTGCCAGTCTCCCTCAGTCTCCATAGAGAAACACAGCCCAGGGACTAACTGGACACACTGAGCTTTATAACAGTACTCTCTTTTCCCTTTCTCTCTCTCTTGCTCTCTCTGTCTCACTCTCATGACTCGCCTCCTCCTCTCTCCCTCTTCCCCCCTCAGAGGCAGCGCAGAAGAAGGAGAACATTCCATTCCCTCCCTCTCTATCTACCTCTGCCCCGCCTATCCTCCCTTCTCCTGAGTCATCGTTCCTCTCTTTCCTGCTGCACTTGGTTCCCGTACAGCCTGTATCTCTCCTTTCTCAAGCCCCCTTCTTTCTCACATTTCTCTCCCTCGCCGCAGAAAACCGTATCCATAGCTGCAATCTGCTGTAATTAAGCCTCCCTGTCTTCTCTATCGGTCTCTATTCATTCCCTCTCTTTCTCCCTCTCCCTCATTCTCTTTCTTCCTCATTCTCTCTCTCTCCTTTTCTGTGTAGTGCTTTGTCCTGTTTCTGGTGCCAGTCTGTAGCTTGGTATCAGGGTTGGGGAGTAACGGATTACATGTAACTGATTCCCAAAAAACTGTACGTTACATTACCAGCTAAAATATTGTAATCACATTACAGACACTTGAAAAACTAGATGATTACTTATAGGATTACTTTTACATTCAAAAAGATGTTTGTGAAAAAATTATTCTCAATGACATTCAAATCAGCATTGAAAAATGGCACAAGTTTAAGTTTGTTCCGCCTGAGTGAATCTGACCACAAGTCAGAGACAACTATGATGACACACCAAATGCATTTGAAGGATCGCAGGAAAATAACATTAATAGGCTTTTGTAGGTTACAGTCCAAGCTATGTCTTCCAACAGTGCGAGTGCTGTTGGCATCCAAAGATTATCCAACTTGAATAAACGCTTGAACGTAAGGACGACAGCAGTGGTGTAGCCTACGGGCGATGCAGATATCACTTATTATTGATATCTACATAGCGCATTGATGTCAATCACACTGGTGCTCTCTCATTTAGCTATTTGCACCTTACGGATTGTGGTGGTTGTGGATGGCTGTTCACAAATGGATATATTTACTGCTCAATCTAATTCGTGCTGATTCAGAAAAATGCCAATCGGCCTAATGGACATATATGCTCAAACTCGCACATTTTTGATGGACGTAAAAAACTGCAAATTATAGAGCTATCAAAGTGTCACCAACAAAAAACGGAAACAATAAGCCTGTAGCAAATACAGAATATGGTAAACATTTCCATATGCAAATAGCACTTTCAGTTGTGCTCAAAGAATGCCATTCCATGAGAGCAGCATTTATTTTTAAACTCAAAGCAATGAGCCTGCATGACAACAAAATCATAAACAACAGAGTAGGCTAAATAGTCCTTCATTTTTGGGTTATGCTCAGGTAAAACAATTTGGCGAAAAGTCCTATTCTTGAAGATCAAGGGGTATTCAATTAATTGGAATGACTGGAAATCTGACAGACGTTGGTTTTTAATGTAAAGATATAGCCTAATCATATTTGTATCTGTAGTAGAAAGCAATGGGTTAGAAGAATCCTACATAACCAACCCATAAAGTAAAATGCAACATCCATTTATGGCCAGCTATGGAAACGCTAACATTGATTTGTCCTGTAATAGATGTCGGTAAATTGGTAATATAAACGTTTGTCTTCTTCAAATGCCTCTTAAGGGGAAAGTAATCTATTACAATTTAGCCATGTAACTAGCAACTAACAGATGACATTTAGAAAGTAACCTACCCAACCCTGCTTGGTATCACATTTTCAAATCAAACCAAATTGTATTTGTCACATGCGCCGAATACAACAGGTGTAGACCTTACCGTGAAATGCTTACTTACAAGCCCTTAACCAACAATGTAGTTCAAGAAATAGAGTTAAGAAAATATTTACTAAATAAAATAAAAAGTAACACATTAAAATAACAATAACGAGGCTATATACAGGGGGTACCGGTACCGAGTCAATGTGCGGGGGTACAGGTTAGTCGAGGTAATTTCTACATGTAGGTAGGGGTAAAGTGACTATGCATAGATAATAAACAGCGAGCAGCAGCAGTGTAAAAACAAATGGAGGGGGGGGGGTGTCAATGTAAATAGTCCGGATGGCCATTTGATTAATTGTTCAGCAGTCTTATGGCTTGGGGGTAGAAGCTGTTAAGGAGCCTTTTGGACCTAGACTTGGCGCTCCGGTCCCCCTCCATAACAGTATTACAGTAGGTCCTTGTTAAAAACACATTCAGAGTCTTTATGATGGTGCTTACTGTTCTTCCCAGTGTTCAAATAAAACACCATCATTTTTCGGTGATTAACTCCGGTATCTGTTGTGCCATGGACACTAGCACATATGCCCCTCCGTTACATTTCCCTGTATATAGGTTATACTTTATTATCCTTTATTTATACAGTTTGATCCACTGAGCGTCTTTTTACGGAGGAGACCTGTCCAATACATAGGTTAGACCTAAGTCAGAACTTATTCTTTAGTTATTACAGTGTACAGTACCTTCTGGTCGGTGGTCTTCTGGGCACAGTCTTTGAGGGGGTCCTTGTCCACGGGCTTGCGGATGCGGGCCACGGTACGAGCCTCGCAGTCCTCTATCCGTAGACGCAGGTCCTTGATCTGGGTGATGTAGGTCACACACATCGACTCGTCCTGGTCACCTGTGTGCAGCATGGACATCGGTTAGGACAGGCTATACATATACCGTACCATCTTCTCTCATTATGTGGTCCCTGTGTGGCTCAGTTGGTAAGAGTGTGGCACTAGAAGATCCAAGGTTGTGGGTTCAATTCCCACAGGGATCACGTACACATAATCAAAATGTATGCACACACTGTACTGTAAATCGTTTCAGATAGAAGCGTCTGCTAAGTGGCAATAATAATATGATTATTATATTATCATGGTGAGGAGCTTAGGGCAGGATGGGTGTGGTCACTGTGGGTGTAGGTGTGGTAAGATAGCGGGTTGTGTGGTGAAACCTTTCCCTTGTTTTTCCGTGTACGTTTTTTACCTTGCAATACCGCATTGCTTTGAATGGAATTACAATTGCACAGATATATATATATACACACACACACACACACACACACACACCTTTGTGCAGTGCATTCATGTGATTCATGATCAGACATGCATATGTTCACATGTAGTGTGTCTCACACACACACAGCTTGATATGCATTCAAACAAAGCATATTTCATTACAAATGATCCTCTATGTAGGTGACTACACTGTGCAGTGGTATCTCGACACACAGCAAAACACAGTTTGACTACTACCTGAATGTGTTTTTCTATAGCACTATATTGTATGACAAAAAAAACTAACTAAGCCAAATTGGATACAGGAAATTGACCCCAAAAAAAGGCAATCAAAATCATGCACTCACTCAAAAGCGGTAAGAGCTAGCGAAAGCATTGCTATCAATGTGAACACTGTAAAAGTCGATGGGGGTGGAGTGATGAAAACAACAAATCGTTCATTTTTGAACATCCCAACCATTCATAGTTCAAAAGCATGGCGGTTCACTGGTGCCTGTGTGAGCTATAGCTTGGCGTGACACACTCACCTTTCGCTTTAACCACTCGTCCTGAAAGGTGAATTTGACAGTTACCCAATGTTGCAGAAACCGGTGTACAGTATCACGCCTTTCACCCCTGACTACACACATCCACTGTATAAAATACTGTTTGCTGTTGGTACTCAGAGAAGGAGAGTAGATGCCACCCTTACTGAGATCAAAACTTTATTTTACAGCCCGCTGTTTATTAGGTAATTACTTATAAATGTTTTGTCAAACCAGGTAGTCACCAAACCAGAAAGTACCCACTAATACCCCATTAGTTTCTTAATTAATACCAGGTAAACACCAGGTAAATACCAGGCTGTAAAATAAAGGGTTACAGAGGTGTGTTGTGTTTGTTCATGAGTATGTAGGTGGAACTGACCTTTCTCCACAGAGCGCAGAAGGTTGTCGTAGTACTGTGTGGTCTTAGTGTAGTCGCCCTCGATCTGCATACGGTCGTCTGGACCAAACAGCTGGGAGTCCTGACTGTCACGCATGAAGTCCTGGTAGTGAAGCTCCAGGTTCCTCATAATCAGCCTGTACTCCTCCACCTTCATGGTCTTAAACTATAGAGGGGAGGGAGGGGAGGGAGAAAGAGCGAGAGAGAGAAGAAGAGGGAGAAGGAGAGAGGTGGAAAAAGAGGGAGAAGGAGAGAAGGGAGAGGTGGAATAAGGAGAGAGGTAAATAGTCAATCTAAAACATGTTAATCATTTCAAAACCTCCTCCTTGTGAGAGGAATCTATCAGAATTGCCTGTCAATCTGTCACTGTCATTCAGTCCATGTACCCTGCTTGTATCACAACCTGTTTTAGGCGGTTACATTTGATAAAATGTAAATCTACTGTACAATCAAGGCTTTTCGTTTCTTTGTTATGTAATACAAACAAGCTTTGGTAGACACTGCTCATTACTGTGGTAACAGTGTAAGAACTTTCCCCGCCAATAATTCAATTTGGAAACCCATGAGGTTTTCTAACTCAATAAAACACTTCTCCATGTTTACATGGTCTGCTCTATAAATAACAGAGCTCGAGACTCAACCTCACCCTAAAGCAACAAAGTTATGGGAAATCTCCCCGTTCGATTCAGTACACTTACATTAACACAAACAGGGTGACCACTTGACTTCCTCTCACAGGGTCACTGATTGACTGTCTGTGAGGATCACGTTTAACTTAAAATAGTGCAAGTCTAAGCTTCAAAAGTTAACGAGTGTCAAACTATTCTAATTACTATATATCTTTCTCAGTTTTCTCAAGAATCAAAAACACAGATGACCAGTGTTTACCATGGTGATGTTCCAGGTACGTATCTGTGTGATGTCTCTCATCAGGTACTGCCAGGACAGCATGCTCTTCATGTTCATATGCATTCTCTGCCACAGGATCAGCATCGACTGGTGACCAGAGTCCAGACTGAGGTAGGAGACAGAGAGAGAAGGAAGTTTTACTGTACTGTAAAACAAATATAACTAGGGTTTTTCATGCCTGGATCCAGATCTATTTGTGTCATCTTGCCAACTCCTATGGTCATTGTACCGGAAGACAGCACAAACAGATCTGGGACGAGACTAAGGAAAAAACCCTGGCTCTACGTATTCCAAATGTGATTTATTGATGGAGAGCACTGTGTATTGATGTAAGAGCCTCACCTGGACACACTGTCCATAGCCTCCTTGTTGACAGGTGGAACCAGGAAACAGACTGAAGGCACCACCGCCTCAATGCCTGAGCGGTTGAGGACCTTCCACTTGTTGGGCTGTGGAGAGTTGTTGATGAGAGCACACTCCTCTCCCTTATGGACGGTGATCTGCACAGAGAGACGGAGTATATGAGAAGTTACAGTCCATGGATGAATGGATGGATGGCTAGTCCAGCATGAATGAATGAACCAGGATGAATGAATGAAGGAACAAACAAATTAATGAACAAATGAATGAAAAGTAAGTCTCTGATACCTCTACATAGGTAGAGAGTTATTCCTACACCAGGTACCTTAAAAAGGTGATGATAAGGATGATGTGCTTACCTCCATCTGTTTGAAGTCACACACGGCCTGGATGGGCAGTTTGCCCTTGATGGACTTGGTGGGGTTACGGGGCTTCAGCTGGATTATGGTCTTGGCTCTCTTGTTCAGGCCGGCCACGTGAGTCTTAAACTCATTCAGCTGCTCCTTCTCCTCCTGGTGAAGAAGGGAAATAATTCAACATCTCCAGAAACAGACGGAACAAAAAGATAAGAGAGTGCTGGTCTGCTTTCTCTGCATTTGAGCCACTACAGTTCTGCCTATGACGAGGGCCCATATTCATAAAGTGTCTCAGAGTAGGAGTACTGATCTCGGATCATGTACCCCCTTTCCATTAATTATATATAAAAAACATACCTGATTTTAGATCAGCAGTCCTACTTTTACGATTTATGAATATGGGTCGAGAGCTAGGTGACCTCATGTTTTATGTGAGTACAAGCATCCATAGACAGTCCAACGTGTAGTAGGTTCAATACCACAGCATCCTGCAGCAGGTCCTCTAGTCGCGTGGCGGTAGTGGAGCGATCACAGCTGTACTTCTTCTTTATCGTCTCCTGCATCTTCTTCATCCTCTCCTCAGCCTCTTTCACGTCCGAAAAGAACTGTGAAGAAGCACAAGAGGATAAGGCCACGTGTATTGAACAATCAGTGAGAACATCAACAATTGGGTTCGGAACTATTCCTCATAGGACCATGCAGGTTTATGAGCCATTCTCTATTTTGAAAATTATTCTGAGCATCCAAACCTGGTAGTAAGCTGTGTTCTCTTTGAGGTGAGCCTCGATGCAACAACACAGCTGGAGGATCCAGCTCCACTGAGTCTGCAGGGCTGCTGTGAAGGCCTGGAAATTAAAGGGGGACAAGAGTTGGGACAAAACAGGGTTGTGTTCACTAGGCACCAAACGGAGGAAAACAGACTGAAAAAGGGAGGGACTACCTGAACTTGTCCAATAAGACATGCTTGTTTTCATTTTCAGTTGCAAAACTGTCTACTACGGTGTGCAGTTCTGTGTACTAATGCATACCGTCCAGGTTTACCCTGTTATTGCATATGGAGACCACTAGGGGGTAGTGTGGTGCTCACCTCCACTGTCTTCTTGCCAGGGTGACCCTCCTTCAGCAGCTTGTCTCCTATGGCCTGGATGTCGTTGACCTTTTTCTCTCTCAGCTCCAGCTCACGCATCAGACCCTGCAGAATGAAGATGAGCTATCAATGAGCTATCAACAGCCTTACATTCAGATAAACACTACTCCAGAGTTTGGAAATACTGTATGATCTTTCAATATTTTTCTATGCTTCCAGAAAATGTGCACTTGAACAACCAAGCTGTCTTAACAGCATTTCTGATATATATTTTCATGTTATGTATATGGTTTTCTGAGTGGGCGGTCAGACCTACCGAGTAGTTGTCTTTCCTGGCGGTCATGTTGGTGTTGCGGTCGCTCCAGTCGTAGCTGACCTCCTCCTCCTCTTTGTCGTTGAGCCACATCAGCTCCTTGGTTGCGGCGCTGACGAACACATAGAGCGAGTCCAGGTTACGCAGACGAGATTTGGAGGAGTTCTGGGAGAGAGCGGTGAAAGAGGGAAGATTTAATTACATACTGTATGTGTGCATTTATGAGAATACAATTATTACCAGTCCTGGTGGTAGCTGACCATTACGGCATTTTCCCCAAAATATATTACATTTAACCCAAAAGAATGCTTCTGAATAAAGATCTTACCAGCAGCTTGGCATACTGAAGGTCCAGTTTGCCCAGGTATTGACTGTACGTCCCCTTACTGATTGGGGATAGCTGGTTCTGAGGGACACAAGAGACACACAGGCAACATCAATGTAATGTCATAGTCAGATAGAGAGGATCTAGCACTTGAGGATGGTAATGAACATATGTAATGTCTCCATTCCCTCAGATCGAATACAAAGTACATGATGTAAACTCATTCAAAGTGATATGGAAATATATGATATGGAGAGTCTATGAAACCAAAATTATTATAACACCCCACTAAAACATATTTCACCTTTGCCCCTTTAAGGTCTAGTACCTCGTCAGCCTTGGCCCGTTCAATCTTGGCGCGGAAGTCCTCCACGGTCTGGTGCAGGCCCCGGTGGCTGCCCAGCTGAGACTCCACGGTGGGCAGGTCCGAGCCCCACTCGGCCTCGTCAATCCGCCTCTGATTCTCCTCCACCCATGTCAGCAGGTCCTGGGCGTAGCGCAGGGTCACCTCGTCCAGCTCGGGACGCAACCTGGTGGAGGACTGCTGGATGGTCTGGGTCTTCATCATCTGGGTGGTCGTCACCTGCGACTTGAGACGCAGGTTGTAATCGGTGCGCAGGTTCACCAGACGCTCGTGAAGGCGGTATACCCTGTGGGAACAACATGCATAAGTGTTCTGTCCTGTAACACATTTCTTGACTAGAGGGGGAGGGGATATAATTAATAATTTAGAGAAAAAAATTTTTATACTGACAAAGCTAATCGTTGTAATCGACCAATGTATATAATAGAATCGAATAGAAAATAGATACTTTACTATCCATTTTGTGAGAAACTGAAATGTCCAACTCACCTGCGGTACATCTGCTCGGCCTGCAGGTGGCGCCCATCTTTGAGCAGCTGCACGTCATTGAAGAGCAGGCGGATCATGCCGTCTGCCTTGTCCAGGTCCCTCTCCACCTCGGCAGTGTGCTGAGCCGGCTTCCCTGCACTCAGGAGACGGATGTCCTAGAGGGAGGAGGGCATACCATTATTAAATGTCAATAACCTATGAGCTTTCCACAGGTAAAGGGTTTCTATGATTGACAGACAAGTAATGCTTCCTCCACTTTAAGGATTTCATGGCTTTCCAAAGTTGTTGGAGATAGTTAACATTTTAATTTTGTTATGTGAGACTGTACTTACACAGCCCACCTCACGCTGTTTTATGACAGGAGAGGGAAAACCATTCTGATTGGAGCATTTTCACTGGTGATGACTGGACACATTGGTTTTGAATGAGGTAGTAAACAGACAGCTAATGATTTTCTAACTGGAGCATATGACTTGCCGGTATGAGTCATTTGACCCAATCACTAGCCTATAGCAACTTTGCATAATTGAGGACAATGGCTGTCCTTAGTTCCCCCAGCTCCAGCCCCAGCCCCAGCCCCAGCCCCAGCCTTAGCCCCAGCCTCAGCCCCAGTCCCAGCCCCAGTCCCAGCCCCAGCCCCAGCCCCAGCCCCAGGCTCAGCCCCAGCCCCAGTCCCAGCCCCAGTCCCAGCCCCAGTCCCAGCCCCAGCCTTAGCCCCAGCCTCAGCCCCAGCCCCAGCCCCAGGCTCAGCCCCAGCCCCAGCCCCAGCTCTAGCCTCAGTCCCAGCTCCAGCCTCAGCCCCAGCCCCAGCCCCAGGCTCAGCCCCAGCCCCAGGCTCAGCCCCAGCCCCAGTCCCAGCTCTAGCCTCAGTCCCAGCTCCAGCCTCAGCCCCAGCCCACAGTCCCCAGCCCCAGCCCCAGCCTCACTGTACAGTCAGTGTTAGTGGTCCAAGACTCACCGTCTGCAGCAGGGTCTCCAGCTGGTTGAGCTGCTCCTCACACACACCCGACTCCATCTGGACTTTACCGACGATCCTCTGGAGTCTCTCTAGCCTGGGGGAAGAAAAGAGGAGCATTAACACTGATCTGGACAAAACAGTTTCTTTCCCCAATGGTTTTTAGCAATGTACCAGGTCAGGATCAACACTGAATTTCACTTCTATACCATGCTAAAAGTGAATGAATCAATAGAAAAAACAAAAACAACACTGTTTTATGTCACGATTAAGAATATCAAGTACGAAATATAACAAATTCCTTGCTTGGCCACAGCTAAAAACGTAATAACATAATAACACAATAACAACAACAGCACAATCAATGAAAGTCCAGAACAAGACACTTACGGCCTCTTTGAACGCAGCAGGTACTCTAATCTATAAGGGTCAGTCACAAATGCCATACTCTAGTCCCTATCCTCTCCCTTTTAAAGTCCCAGGTAGAGAGGTGGCTCTTCTTAACACAGTCCCATAGTGTCATGGGAATTCTCTCCCATCTTGGCAGGCAGTGGTGGGGTTGAATGGAATTTCTGCTGAGCTGGATCAGCCATTCCTCATCCCAGTCCCATGAATAAGACAGCCCAGATAGAGCGCTGCCCAATCTGATGAACTTAGTTGAAACTAGTAAACTAGGACTGCCGATTCTACTGAACATGGACCCAGCAAACAAGTCTTATGACAGTGGACCAGCCCAATTTAAGACAACTTGCAACACAATACCACTCCAGCTATCTAGCCTTTTGATATTGAAAACATCGGTATTTGATGTATTCTGACAGATAATCATATCTGATTAAGGTTACAAGAATGCATTTTGTAAAAATAAATCGCTCTGTACCGGACTTGCCCTTGTGAACAGAGGATGCCTTTCATTGCAATCCCTTCATTGCAAAGGGAAAACATGATTCAATCATAACATCTTGCTGCATGCATCTGGATATGGAGTCTCCGAATTAGGGGAGATGGGTAATATAATTACTGTGCATTACTTAGCTTCAGATGTTGTTCTTGCAGCTGTTTAAACTGCACATGTAACTGACAAGGAAATGGTCCGATAAATAGAATTGGCTTGATGAGAATCCATCTGTCACTTTCTGTGGCTATTATATGAATCATGACTCATTCACTGTAAGTAAATTGCACTCATCAACAGTCAGATATTCTAAACTATGCTTTGTGGCACTACTTAATCAAAGAAACTAGTGGAAACTTCCATCTGAAGTCAAGACACATGAAGTCATCCCTGAAGACCTTAGAGAAATCAGGCAGGACAGTGTCCAAGCCCCTATGGCATCGTAGATACCAAATCTCAGGCGTGCCAATGGCATTACTGTTCAAGAGGAGCTGGCAGTAGACAAACCACAACCTAAACAAGGCCCCAGAGCGGTGCAACTAAGGTAACACTAGGTTTAATAGACTAATGGAGTTAGTTATCCAGGATGCTCTCACACAGACCAATGAATCAATGACCTGTCTTGTGTCGAACAATAACATATTCTTCCCAATTTGTAACATGAAGACCGAATTTTTTCTAAACAAAACAGGCAGAAACTAACAAGGTCACTTGAAGAGAGCAGATAAATACTCAACAAAAATCTAAACGCAACATGCAACAATTTCATTACTGAGTTACAGTTCATACGAGGAAATCAGTCAATTTACTTATGGATTACAGATACACATCTGTTGGTCACAGATACCTTAAAAAAAAATGGGCCTCACAATGGGCCTCAGGATCTCGTCATGGTATTTTTGTGCATTCAAATTGCCATTGATAAAATGCAATTGTGTTCGTTGTCCGTAGCTTATGTCTGCCCATACCATAACCCCACCGCCACCATGGGGCACTCTGTTCACAACGTTGACATCAGCAAACCGCTCGTCCACACGAAGCCATACACGTGGTCTGCGGTTGTGAGGCCGGTTGGACGTACTGCCAAATTCTCTAAAATGACGTTGGAGGTGGCTTATGGTAAAGAAATTAACATTTAAGTCTCTGGCAACAGCTCTGGTGGACATTCCTGCAGTCAGCATGCCAATTGCACACTCTCTCAAAACATGAGACATCTGTGGCATTGTGTTTTGTGACAAAACTGCACAGTGTAGAGTGGCCTTTTATTGTCCCCTGCACAAGGTGCACCTGTGTAATGATCATGGTGTTTAATCAGATTCTTAATATGCCACACCTGTTATGTGGATGGATTATCTTGGCATCCCCACTAACAGGGATGGAAACTAACTTGTGCACCAAATTTGAGAGAAATATGCTTTTTGTGCGTATAGAACATTTCTGGGATCTTTTATTTCAGTTCATGAAACATGGGACCAATACTTGACATGTTGCGTTTATATTTTTGTTCAGTGTAGATCCAGATGAGGATTGATCGAATCGTGGAATCAGGAATAATATGGCCAGACATTGATATCCACTACACAGCTTCACTCACTCACCTCTCAAGCTCTGTCCTGAGCAGTCGTTCTCTCTCTAGGATGGCCACATGCAGACGGCCCCATTCCTTCTCCACATCAATGGGGTGGTAGCCTGGAGGGACCTTGACCTGACCAGTATGCACTGCACTCTGTAGAGGGGGTGGGGTAAAATCATAGCCACAAATCAAACAACCATCTTTATCTATCTATATCAATCTATCAAAAATAGAGTAGAGTATAATGGAATGGGATACAATAGAGTAGAATAAAATATAATATAATTAATCGAATAGACTAGAATGCAAATAGCATAGAAAAGAATAGAATAGAAGCTCTGTGCATGGCTAACCTCAAAGGACTGGTAGATGAGTTTGGAACGGTGCTTGTCGGCCTCCTTTGCAGGCAGTTCGGTCTCTTTGAACTTCAAGAACTGACGCCACAGAATCTGAAAGCGAGAGAGACATGATGAAGGAGAACATTTTCTTAACGTTCTCGAACGGTCACAAGGGGACATTTATATACAGTGAAAGTATTGACACAATGCAAGTTCTCATTAAAAGTGAGAGAGGCCTTATTTCTCGCACGTCAACATGAAGGAGAAAAAAATCCGAAAATCCCATTGTAGGATTTTTTATGAATTTATTTGCAAATTATGGTGGAAAATAAGTATTTGGTCACCTACAAACAAGCAAGATTTCTGGCTCTCACAGACCTGTAACTTCTTCTTTAAGAGGCTCCTCTGTCCTCCACTCGTTACCTGTATTAATGGCACCTGTTTGAACTTGTTATCAGTATAAAAGACACCTATCCACAACCTCAAACAGTCACACTCCAAACTTCACAATGGCCAAGACCAACGAGCTGTCAAAGGACACCAAAAACAAAATAGTAGACCTGCACCAGGCTGGGAAGACTGAATCTGCAATAGGTAAGCAGCTTGGTTTGAAGAAATCAACTGTGGGAGCAATTATTAGGAAATGGAAGACATACAAGACCACTGATAATCTCCCTCGATCTGGGGCTCCACGCAAGATCTCACCCCGTGGGGTCAAAATGATCACAAGAACAGTGAGCAAAAATCCCAGAACCACACGGGGGGACCTAGTGAATGACCTGCAGAGAGCTGGGACCAAAGTAACAAAGCCAACCATCAGTAACACACTACGCCGCCAGGGACTCAAATCCTGCAGTGCGAGACGTGTCCCCCTGCTTAAGCCAGTACATGTCCAGGCCCATCTGAAGTGCATTTCGATGATCCAGAAGAGGATTGGGAGAATGTCATATGGTCAGATGAAACCAAAATATAACTTTTTGGTAAAAACTCAACTCGTCATGTTTGGAGGACAAAGAATGCTGAGTTGCATCCAAAGAACACCATACCTACTGTGAAGCATGGGGTTGGAAACATCATGCTTTGGGGCTGTTTTTCTGCAAAGGGACCAGGACGACTGATCCGTGTAAAGGAAAGAATGAATGGGGCCATGTATCGTGAGATTTTGAGTGAAACCCTCCTTCCATCAGCAAGGGCATTGAAGATGAAACGTGGCTGGGTCTTTCAGCATGACAATGATCCCAAACACACTGCCCGGGCAACGAAGGAGTGGCTTCGTAAGAAGCATTTCAAGGTCCTGGAGTGGCCTAGCCAGTCTCCAGATCTCAACCCCATAGAAAATCTTTGGAGGGAGTTGAAAGTCTGTGTTGCCCAGCGACAGCCCCAAAACATCACTGCTCTAGAGGAGATCTGCATGGAGGAATGGGCCAAAATACCAGCAACAGTGTGTGAAAACCTTGTGAAGACTTACAGAAAACGTTTGACCTGTGTCATTGCCAACAAAGGGTATATAACAAAGTATTGAGAAACTTTTGTTATTGACCAAATACTTATTTTCCACCATCATATGCCAATAAATTCATTAAAAATCCTACAATGTGATTTTCTGGATTTTTTTTTCTAATTTTGTCTGTCATAGTTGACGTGTACCTATGATGAAAATTACAGGCCTCTCTCATCTTTTTAAGTGGGAGAACTTGCACAATTGGTGGCTGACTAAATACTTTTTTTCCCCACTGTATAGTCGCTCTGGATAAGAGCGTCTGCTAAATGACGTAAATGTAAATATATATATATATACTATAATATATATATATATAATATATATATATATATATATATACATACATACAGTGAGGGAAGAAAGTATTTGATCCCCTGCTGATTTTCTACGTTTGCCCACTGACAAAGACATGATCAGTCTATAATTTTAATGGTAGGTTTATTTGAACAGTGAGAGACAGAATAAAATAAAAAAAATCCAGAAAAACACATGTCAAAAATGGTATTAATTGATTTGTATTTTAATGAGGGAAATAAGTATTTGACCCCCTCTCAATCAGAAAGATTTCTGGCCCTCAGGTGTCTTTTATACAGGTAACGAGCTGAGATTAGGAGCACACTGTTAAAGGGAGTGCTCCTAATCTCAGCTTGTTACCTGTATAAAAGACACCTGTCCACAGAAGCAATCAATCTATCAGATTCCAAACTCTCCACCATGGCCAAGACCAAAGAGCTCTTCAAGGATGTTAGGGACAAGATTGTAGAACTACACAAGGCTGGAATGGGCTACATGACCATCGCCAAGCAGCTTGGTGAGAAGGTGACAACATTTGGTGCGATTATTCGCAAATGGAAGAAACACAAAATAACTGTCAATCTCCCTCGGCCTGGGGCTCCATGCAAGATCTCACCTCGTGGAGTTGCAATGATCATGAGAATGGTGAGGAATCAGCCCAGAACTACACGGGAGGATCTTGTCAATGATCTCAAGGCAGCTGGGACCATAGTCACCAAGAAAACAATTGGTAACACACTACGCCGTGAAGGACTGAAATCCTGCAGCGCCCTCAAGGTCCCCCTGCTCAAGAAAGCACACATACAGGCCCGTCTGAAGTTTGCCAATGAACATCTGAATGATTCAGAGGAGAACTGGGTGAAAGTGTTGTGGTCAGATGAGACCAAAATCGAGCTCTTTGGCATCAACTCAACTCGCCGTGTTTGGAGGAGGAGGAATACTGCCTATGACCCCAAGAACACCATCCCCACCATCAAACATGGAGGTGGAAACATTATGCTTTGGGGGTGTTTTTCTGCTAAGGGGACAGGACAAGGCAACAAAGGAGTGGCTCAAGAAGAAGCACATTACGGTCCTGGAGTGGCCTAGCCAGTCTCCAGACCTTAATCCCATAGAAAATCTGTGGAGGGAGGTGAAGGTTCGAGTTGCTAAACGTCAGCCTCCAAACCTTAATGACTTGGAAAAGATCTGCAAAGAGCAGTGGGACAAAATCCCTCCTGAGATGTGTGCAAACCTGGTGGCCAACTACAAGAAACGTCTGACCTCTGTGATTGCCAACAAGGGTTTTGCCACCAAGTACTAAGTCATGTTTTGCAGAGGGGTCAAATACTTATTTGCCTCATTAAAATGCAAATACATTTTTGACATGCGTTTTTCTGGATTTTTTTGTTGTTATTCTGTCTCTCACTGTTCAAATAAACCTACCATTACAATTATAGACTGATTATGTCTTTGTCAGTGGGCAAACGTACAAAATCAGCAGGGGATCAAATACTTTTTTCCCTCACTGTATATATATATATATTTTAAAAAAGCATGTGCAGTGAAATGTGTTGTTTTACAGGGTCAGCTATAGTAGTATGGCGCCCCTGGAGCAAATAAGTGTTAAGTGCCTTGCTCAAGGACACGTCAGCAGATTTTTCACATTGTCGGCTCAGGTATTTGAACCAGCAACCTTTCAGTTCCTGGCCCAACGCTCTAACCGCTAGGCTACCTACCTTATTAGCTTGTGAATCAATCCATCCTACTCTTGCTTCCTTTTAAATGTAAACTGAAATTCCATTTGAAATGGAATTGACCCCAACCACGACACTTAGCAGTACTTGTAGTGTGAAACTACAGCTCTTGATGAGTTCGTTGACATTTTTACATTCTTACAGTGGGCATTACTTGAGAAAGTATTGTAACCTTGTAACTTTATAACATGTTCCCATGTCCTTACTCACAAACATACGCACAGAGCTTGACCTTTTCAATCCAATATGGTACTAGATCAATAATGTGGCTAACCTGATTGTTTGGGAAGGTGTCAAAATAAAGACTAAAGCAAACACAGATGTGGGGTGTTTAAAAGTGTACATAGAAAAGTCAGATGCCTTATTAGAAGACACAGATGGTGTAAAAACACAAACAGAGACTTCTCGAGATACTGCTTTTGTCTGTATTTTGGGAACCATTTTCTAGGAAAAGAGATCTTGGAATTAGACTACCTTGAAGCACAATATACCCAGCCTTGTACTGCTCATTCTGATAATACCATTACATCTGATGAAAAGGAGGTGTGAGCACATTAAACACATATAATAGGTGTTCGAGTTGATAAAGGAAATTTGACACAGAAGTGCGTCCTCCTCCGTTTTACTCTACAATTCCTTTGTATGTACTGTACAAGATTTGGAAACTGATTACAGCAACTGATAGGTTAATGAATGTTATATACATTATCCAATAGGAGGACTGAGCTGACCTAGCCTGTATCTGACAGTCCTCTTTGTCTCCACAGAGAAAGTTTCAGGCACGCAACGTTTTACGATCCAGAGCTAGCCAGGGAATGGGGAGGGGCAGTACGGAAGATTCCACCGAGGATTAGGTAGAATAATGTGTGCCTTCAGGTCTGCTTTTCTCAGCTCCAGTGCAACCCACCCAGATGCCACACAATTCCATACACAAGACAATGCAATCTCTAGACTGGACACATACTGTAATTGTTTGATGTGGTATCGAATGGCAGAGCTACCTGCTTGGTCATTATGACTTAACTATTTAACGACCATGCGACTCATGAGTTCATGAGTTCTGTTGATGTATGTATGCATCCATATCAGTAAGAGCTCAGAGAAATGAATCTCCAGAACGATTTGAGCATGTAAGGCATCTCTGAATAGGCATAGTCATGGTAAGAGAAAATAAATGAAGGTGTGTGTGGAGAAATTTTATAAACATAATTCACAGCAACAAAAAAAAATGCCTTAGCTACAGACCCGATATATGAAAATGTATAGACACAGAAACACATACAGTATTTTCAGTATCCAAGTTACAGTATACACGCTCCCATGTCTAGCAATAATACTTTATGTGACTAGCCACAAGTAGCATTCCAATCCCAGTCACAACAGCACTACTAATAACTGTTCAGGTAGGAGACTCACCTCTATCTCCTCATAGCTGCCTTGGAACCTCCTCTCCCCGAAGATAACGACATGGTGGCTTATCCACTGCCGAATGATAGTGACCAGCTCATAGTACTCTGTCCAGCGCAGCTCCAGCTCCTGTAGCACAGACACAGCAGAAAACAGCAGACAATAGCAGGGTTTAACAACACACAGCAAGTCCCTTCTCCTGGAGAGCCATGATAACTCGCCTGCTCACACACCACCCTCACTCAATTAGGTGTCAACAGGACCAGCCTTGTGTGGCTGGACAGGGAGCAGAGAGTGAGTGAGTGAGTGAGTGAGTGAGTGAGTGAGTGAGTGAGTGAGTGAGTGAGTGAGTGAGTGAGTGAGTGAGTGAGTGAGTGAGTGAGTGAGTGAGTGAGTGAGTGAGTGAGTGAGTGAGTGAGTGTTGTTACTGATTGTCTCGTTGACAATATTGATTAGTATTATTTTAATTATGTTAATATTATAAATGTATCACTTAATCTCCAAAGTACGCTTTGGCAATATGTACATCGTTACGTCATGCCAATAAAGCAAATTGAATTGGAGAGAGAGAGAGAGAGAGAGAGAGAGAAAGATAATGTAGTGTGTGTGTGTGTGTGTGTGTGTGCATGAGCATATGTATACGCATGTGCAATAAACAAAAGTTCCCTCCTTTACTCACTTTCAGTATATCTTTAGTTATCATTGGAGTACAAATGGCACTCTAAAATCAATACCGTACACCATTCTGCTTTTCCAACAGGTCTCTTCTGTGTGCTGTGATCATACCGTGGTGTGAGAAGGTGTTTATTGGGTAGAAAGTACTTTGAAGTAAACACAGAAGGTTGCTAATTTCCTGCAGCTCCATTTAGGATCACAGGACTTCTATTGTAGTTCCAACTTGAAGCGACTCTGGATGTCAGTGTCATAAACAAAACAATTACATGTTCTGACTGTCACAAGCCTGTGTAATCCGGGAGTCCTCTGAATGAACTCTCATTGAAAGTAGGATTGAATGTAATAACAGCGCCCTTTTGAATTTATCAATCTGAGTCTCGGACGTGAAGTGTCCAGTTTGTGAGTATATCAGGTTTATTCAGAGATCCGTGGTGGTCAGAAATACACTTGAGTCACTCACGTTAGCCTGGATTCCATCCTGGACATCCCGGGGCATGGCATCATACAGGGACGACACGTAGGTGATGATGGACTTCTCATCAGGGTGTGGCACGTCAACATCTGGGAAAATAATTGTGTGTTTATAGATTTTTTCACAGCAAAAGAGGAAGGGAGGTGCTGCAAATACCAAAAACAGAATTAAGTACTTTGAGGTGTTATTAGTTACTTTATAAATGTTTTAGGATGAGGGCCTTTCATTGAATAACAAAGAGTTAAGTGTACCCAATCATTAGTTGGTATGTGAATATGTGTGTAATCATTAGTTAAACACTTAGATCATGTTCATGGTGGATTTGGAGAAAGGAGTAAGCTATCAACATTTTTGATTGGACACGGCTCATACAGTGCATCAGCACGGAAGGGTATGGGGGGGGGGGGGCTCTTCAAGTTCCATCTGGAGTCTCTCACCCCTGACTCTTCTTCCAATAAATATTAAAAGTACAAGGTTAGGTGGGACGTGGTCGGAGAACTTGATGTGCATTCACTAGGAACAAAACCGAAGTAAACAGAACAAAATGGGGAGGGAATTTGACCAAAATAAACTAGTTGGAAAACGTTTTCTGTTGCGAAACGTTTTGCAACTCTTTGCTACAGTGTGCACTTATGATTACACCCCTGGTGTTGCGGTCAGCCATCATCACATGTACATGTACTGGAGCATCTCAATGCAGTCTTACCCTCTGGATCCAACAGGCGTGTCACGCCCAGGTCTGTCTCTGCCACATTGAAGGCGTACTCAAGGTTCTGCACGTTGGTCTGGTGGTACACCTTACTCATGTCAATGAGTCTAGGCCTGAGGAGACACAACCATGGGACATCAGTCATGATTGGTGTAAAGGCAGTGTAGACAGGTGAGGAGGGTATAAGGACTGGCTGGGCAGATACTGATCATTCCTACCTACATATCACTTGTCCTAAAAATTTAATGCCACGTCTGTATGTCATAAATCTGTAGTGAACACCTGCCTCCCCTGGGGTGCTTGGCAGCTATATATGAAGGGAATGTTACATGGGGCTGCAGCAGACTTTCAGGGCAGCCATATTTAAAATGAGATAAGCCCCTATACTCGCTCCCCGTTACTCTCATCTGCACCACGGAGAGGATAGTAAGTGAACAGAAAATAGGGAAACATTCAAATAATACTGTTACTCAAATTAAATTATTGACCAATGTAAACATTTAAAACATCTGTAACAAAAGTTCCCTCTCTAATTCGTTTTTCATTGCATGCATTAGTAAAAATGTCACTGTTTAGAGCTTATTCTATCTTTTATGGCACAGTATACACATTCTCTCTTTACAATACATTCACATTATTCTCATATACTCTGAAAGTAAAGCCCAAGACAAATAACCAGAAGCTTAGAGCAGATCCGTACAGTGATTTGACGTGAAGGGTGGAGCGGACAGCGTAGTAATCCCCAGGGCTTGTGGCTGATTCCAGGCACTGCACCTCCCTAAGAGAGAGTTGCTTCCGTGGCCTGGGGGGCCTCCCTTCTACCCTACTGGGGCTGACCAGCCTCCCCTCCCCTCCCTGGAGACTGCGGGGGCTCCAGTCCTGTCCCAGCCCTGTCCCCTGGCCCAGCTCCTGGTCCCCTGAGTGGGAGTCGCTGCTAGAGTGGGCCCCTGAGCTGTGGGAGCCCCAGGAGGAGCACTCTGAGGGGATATCGTCACACTGCATGACCACACGGTCTTCTAACGAGCTGATCAAGCCTGTGACCATGCTGGACGAGCTGCCAGTCCTCTTCCTGGACTTCATGGATAGCTTCCTCTTCAGACCCGACATCATGGTGCCTTCTGGGAGTTGTAGTCTCCCCAAAACGGAGAGAAAGCTGGCTAGATGTTTCGTAGTCTTCCAGTGGCAAGTGAAAATGTTGCACTTAACAGTGAACTTCCAATTCCAAAAGGCTTGCTGCTCCAACCATTTTAACAAGCTTCCTTGTGATTTTTTGGTGTTTGTTCGGGAAACAGCCGGGTCCAAGTTTGCAGAATGTACAGATAAATCCCACCCGAGCACTGACGTCTTCAATAAGACGTCTTCACAATCTTCATGTTGAGTCTACAAAGAGTGCTCAACCCTCTCCGTGAGAGAAGAAACGTCTCTGTACCACTAAGAGGCTAACTGCTGTCATCCCCTCTGACCTGACCTCCCAACCTCAGCCCTGTCTATCCAAAACAACTCCCCCAATATCAACTGTAACTTTCACCTGTCCAAGGTAAGGTCCTTAGTTCCCAGTGTGACAACAACATTCAACCCTCCAAATAAGTGGTTCAAAAAGTGCCGCAAATCGGTGGATAGTGTCGACTGTAGGCTGTGCAAAAAGTAACTCTGCAGTGTTCGTCATTTGAGTAGGAGTGTTACATTGACACACCTCCTCTCTCGTTATGAAAATAAATCAGCTACTAAATACACTGCCTTAGGTGACACTCAAAAATTAAAAAGTGTTCTCTCTATCTCCTTCTCGCTCTCTCTTAGCGAGAGCAGGGTGTAGCTGAACTTTGCAGGTACACGTACAGCTTTGATTGAACCTGCCCTGTGGGCCTCTCTTTCTTCCTTTAGTGCCACGCCTTGCTGGGTAATTACCCATACTTCCCTCATCACATGTCCCTCTTTCAGTCGCTCTCATGTTCGGGCTAGGCCCCTTAGTTCCAGTGAAGGGAAATCTTAACGCTACAGCATACAATGACATTGTAGACAATTTTGTGCTTCCAACTTTGTGGCAACAGTTTGGGGAAGGCCCTTTCCTGTTTCAGCATGACAATGCCCCCGTGCACAAAGCGCACTATTATTTACAGATAATGTGCCTGTCTCTATGGCTTTTTAGGACCTCGCCTCCACTTTGAGAGACCACAGACATATCTCCACTCATCCACTCCCATATTCATGTCTATATGTAACTGTATGCTTCAACAGTGACTAAAGCAGCTCTGAGGCCATTGTAATATTAACAGAAGGAGTAATGCACTTAGAACTCATTTAGTCACTCCTCTAGTCCAGGGCTCCCTAGAAAAATAGATTCTTATGAAAGGATAAGTAAACAAACCCATCTTTCCCAATTCTACACCACCCAGGTGCCTCCGACAGCACCCTCTCCACCTGAATGGGCATTAGTGAGTCTAATAACATAATAATAACATCATATAAGTGCTGAAATCAGTGCCAGTACCTGTATCCATCTGAGACAACACCCACCTGTGGTATTCCAGGCCCAGGGCACTGACAAGTTCAAAGAAATGTCTTATTAGAGCTGCCTGAAACCTGTACGATCAAGTACGGCCAGGACAGGAGATTGAAGAACTACAGAGTTCGAATAAAAAGGTAATTTACCTCAGGACTAGTTAGAACTGAGAAATAAACACTACGTGGATCCACAATCTTAATTTATAAGACATGGGAAACTTTTCTCTCTTTTGTTGAAACTGAAACCAGTGTCTGATTATGTACCTGAGAGTTTACATTTGTACTCGTGTGTAGATATACACTACATGACCAAAAGTATGTGGACACCTGATCGTCGAACATCTCATTCCAAAATCATGGGCATTAATATGGAGTTGGTCCTCCCTTTGCTGCTATAACAGCCTCCACTCTTCTGGGAAGGCTTTCCACTAGATTTTGGAACATTGCTGTGGGCACTTGCTTCCATTCAGCCACAAGACCATTAGTACGGTCGGGCACTGATGTTGGGCGATTTGGCCTGGCTCGCAGTCGGCGTTCCAATTCATTCCAAAGGTGTTCAGTTGGGTTGAGGTCAGGGCTCTGTGCAGGCCAGTCAAGTTCTTCCACACCGATCTTAAAAAACCATTTCTGTATTGACCTCACTTTGTGCACGGAGACATTGTCATGCTGAAAACAGGAAAGGGCCTTCCCCAAACTGTTGCCACAAAGTTGGAAGCACAAAATTGTCTATAATGTCATCGTATGCTGTAGCGTTAAGATTTCTCTTCACTGGAACTAAGGGGCCTAGCCCAAACCATGAAAAACAGCCCCAGACCATTATTCCTCCTCCACCAAACTTTACAGTTGGCACTATGCATTGGGGCAGGTAGCGTTCTACTGGCATCCGCCAAACCCAGATTCGTCCGTCGGACTGCCAGACGGTGAAGCGTGATTCATCACTCCAGAGAACGTGTTTCCACTGCTCCAGAGTCCAATGGCGGCGAGCTTTACACCACTCCAGCCGACACTGCATTGTGATCTGAGGCTTGTGTGCGGCTGCTTGGCCATGGAAACCCATTTCATGAAGCTACCGATGAACAGTTCTTGTGCTGACGTTGCTTCCAGAGGCAGATTGGAACTCGGTAGTGAGTGTTGCAACCGACGACAGACAATTTTTACGCGCTACGTGTTTCAGCACTCGGCGGTGCCGTTCTGTGAGCTTGTGTGGCCTACCACTTTCCCATTCCTGCCCAATCTGCTTCACATCAAATAAAACGTAAGTGCGGTGATGTGCCATGACAACCCCGTTGCATAGCTTAGAACTACCAGAGACACTAGGACAAGAGAGATTAACACCTATTACTGCCACTTACTGTGGGTAATAACATGAGTGGGTACAGTCTACTGAGGGGTACATTTGGGGTAATCTTGTCATTTTTGGGGTAATCTCACCTTGATGAATAAACCTGAAATAGCTGGAGGTGAGGCTACATTTGGGGCGACAGCAGGGCTTACGTGTAACATTCTGATGTTACAATCCAAAGGTGTTCACCAGTATCTGAACATTAGGTGCAGTATAGTCCCTTATGACAGACTTTACCCAAGATTTGGTTCTGGGAACTGAGATTAAATACTGTCATTTTTACATTACGTATTGTGGCTTGGGGTGTCGATCACCAAAGTAATACACTAAAAATAATAACAATATATGCCATTTAGCAGCCCCTTTTTCCAATCATGCGTGCATACATTCTATGTACAGGTGGACCCGGGAATCGAACACCACTATCCTGGCATTACAAGCAGCATGTTCTATCAACTGAGCTACAGAAGACCACTTACTGGTGTTTGTGTATGACGGCGTTGAAAAGCTTGCCGTCCCTCCAGCTGGTGGTAAAGTTGTCACAGCGGATGCCCTGGTAGCCCTCCACCATGCGCTGGGACCACAGCAGCAGCTTCTCCTTGGCCGACATGTTGTCTGACTGGCCATTCACCTGGATGTCCGAGATCTAACAGGGGAGGATAGATACCGGGGTTAGACGGGGAGGAGGCAACACTCTACCAGGGTTGGGGTCAATTCAATTTAAATTCGGTCAATTCCATTACATTTGGTCAATGCAGGAAGTTAACTGAACATTGGATGAAAATGGCTTCTCAATGACGAGATTTGGAATTGAAAATGGAATTTCAGTTTACTTCCTGGATTGACTGAATTGATATGGAATTGACCCCAACCCTGCTTGTCATGGTGGCAGAGGGAGATAGGTGGAAACAATGAAGATAAAATCAATTTGAGAAAATCAATTATGCATTGTAATGGATGGGGTTTGATTCAATCATATGCTATTCTGGCTCAATCTGAATCACGTTTGTCCACCTCAATGATCTGTGGTGGAAAAAAAGAATAAACATTGTTTTTCAGCCAGGGGAGGTAACTCTGTTATCAGTAGTACATATGTGACATCAAAGGGAACCACCAACTAGATCTCAATTCCCAGGTCATTGGGTAGGTGGTAGGGATGGTCGGCCGAGACTGCTCCTGCTTTGGGTCTCAAGACACAACTTAGAACACTGTCGGGTCCAGTGTGGGAACACACAGCATTGGCTAATGTGGTAGGACTGTTTTTCTATTTGGGCTGGGAGGGAAATGAGATGAGTCACAGTCACCAGAGGCTCAGAGGGTACTCTCTGTTCTTGCCAAAAGACCGCTCATTTACCAAATTCTCTGCCTACTGATCTCTTTCTGTATGTGTGTGTGTGTGTGTGTGTGTCTGGTGTGTTCTCCTCGGGATCCAATCCACCCTTGATGGCCCCACCCTAAACCTCTCCCCTCTAAAGAAGAGGAGAATGCCTATGATGACTCACCAGGCTCCTGCTGTTTTGTTCTCCTTCTGAGAAATGAGAGATACGCCATCTCTCTATCCAACCCAATACATGGAGTACAGTAAACCAACGTACATGTAAATCAAAACTAAAAGTTGAACTGATGTCTGTGCCCAGTGGGTATACTCTACACCAGTCTTCCTGCACAACCAACATCTCTTCCTGTGCCCTGCTCAACCAAGGCTGCCACATGGAGGGCTTTCTGCTCCTTTTTAACTGGCAGTGCCACGCATTCTTTAATCAAATAATGTAGTGTTACAGAAAGCCCATGTGTTGTTTCACAAAGGTTTTACAGCATAACATGGTTCAAATACTACTTGAAATCATTTCAAATACTTTGGCTAGGCTTGATTGAGCTTGCCTGGCTTAATGGAACCAATAGTCAATGCTACCTTAGAAGTGGCTTGGAGAATAGTTTGCAGGACACAATGTTCTTTCATTTCCTGAGCCTTCATCGGAACATGGGTCCGTCACAGACCTGGGTTCAAATACTATTTGACATCTTTCAAATACTTTTCATGTTTACTTAAGCCTTCCTGGAGTGCCAGATGGGCAGGGTTTGAGTATTGTATTGGTTCAAATAAGCCAGGCAAGCTCAATCAAGCCTAGCTAAAGTATTTGAAATTATTATTGAAATTGTGCAGTAAGACTGGTGTAGAGTATACCCACTGGGCACAGACGTCAGTTCAACTTCTAGTTTTGAAAGTTTACATTTGATTTAGTTGTCAACTAACGTGAATTCAACGTGAAATCAACAAAAAATGTCACCATGTTATTTGATTTTGGTTAAAAGTTGTGTGAAAAAAAGACTAAATCCCCTTACGTTGATGACTTTTTGCAAATCCAATTAGTTTTCCATGTTGATTCAATGTCATAACATAGCTTTTTTTGGGGATTGAAATGACGTGGAAACAATGTTGATTCAACCAGTTTTTTTGCCCAGTGGGTAGGTTGTCAGTGAGTTATAGTTATGCCACTCCTTTCCCCTGGGATGCATGGGAAGAGTGATTCACACACACTGATGCTATTGTACTGTAACACTTTATCAAGATGTTAAGGCTATTTAAGTGGCAGGGAAAGCTACATCATAAGATGACTTCCTTATTCTTTCCATGTTTCAAAATAACTAAATTAAAGCTTGATCATGAATTATCAGGAGGGGTTAGCATGGCCTACAGTATATTAGCCTACTCTGTTATTATAATTATAATTATTAAACTGTAATAATACTATGATTTAAATATATTTTAGAATAATTTGATAACAGATTTGATAGCACTGAGATTTTCTGAAAGCAACGTGGTAACATTTCGAGTGATTGAGATCAAATGGATCACACATGATTGGATTGAGTTCAATTTGTGATTGTTGCTGATTGGCTTGGATCAGAGCCAAGGGGATAGGAAGAGGAGGAGCTATATGGTATGGGAACACAACACTGACAGAGCAGGACACCTGGAAGTGAAGGATGATGGTCCATATCAGCCCAAGGGTCAGCTTGGGGTTGCCATCTGCGATGTCATCGTTTCTGATGTTCACCAGCTTGACCTGTGATTGGACGACAGAGAAGTGAGACTTAACAATTACAGTAGTTCACATCATTGTAGATACATTATTACTCTGTTCCAATGCATTTAGATATTTGTCTCAGTCATGTCACTTACAGTAAGTCATCTTCATACAGTATAAGAGAAGTAAACTCAGATGGTAACTCATTTGTTACATTATCTCCGTTATTACATTTCAATTGCTGTTTCTCTTACCTGTCGGTGTTTGAGGAAGTCCAGTGCTATCTGTACATTCTGCAGCTTGTGGAATCTCATGCGGCCTTTCTCTCGGGGCTGGAGAGAGAGGAGAAAGAGGGGGCAAGAGAGAGAAAGACAGAGAGAGAGAGAGAGAGAGACAAAGAACGGGGAGACAGAGAGAGAGAGAGAGACAGAGAGAGAGACAGAAAGACAGAGAGAGAGAGAGAGAGACAGAGAGAGAGACAGAAAGACAGAGAGAGAGATAGACAAAGAACGGGGAGACAGAGAGAGAGAGAGAGAGAGAGAGACAAGAGAGAGAGAGAGAGAGAGAGAGAGAGAGAGAGAGAGAGAGAGAGAGAGAGAGAGAGAGAACAAAAAACGTAGATAGCAGAGAGAGGATGAGAGACATATATAGAGACAGAGAAGATGAGAGAGAGATAGAACATAGAGAAATGACAGAGAAACATAGACAGAGTACAGGAGACAGAGAGAGAGAGACATAGAGAGAGAACAAGAGAACTTGGAGACGAGAGAAGAGAAGAAGAAGACATAGAAAGAACAGAGAGAAACATATAGATAGACATATATAACAAGAGATATAGATAGAGAAATATATATAATTATAGATAGATATATAATTACAGATAGAAGACAAGAAAAACAGAGAGAGAGAGAGAGAGAGAGAAGGACCAGCAGAGGGACAGAGGAGGAGAGTGGGTGGGGGGTTAGATTGTAGACTAAATTGTAGACTCAATGACAAGAGTACACATGATTTTTCTCCAAAGGAAAAGGTAAATGACAAAGAATACGATGAATAACTGATGTGTCTCACAGATCTCCAAGTAAAACTTCACTCATTATAAAACCACATTAATGACATCATTCATTGTGTACATACCTGTTCTTCACCTTCGACAGACAAACAGAGGTAAATAGGAGATATATTTGGAGTGAAAGAAGGGGAGGGGGGAGCATCAGTCATGTATTGGCTTAGCCAATAACGTGATTAGTTATTAGGTGCAGGAATCTTTGGTTGGTTGGTTTTGAATTGTGTCACCTCTTGGGACATGTGTTCTGATTGGAGAACAATGACTTGAAGACTTCCATTTCCAAAGAATACTGTATTTCTGCTATGTAGTATGCATTAGTAACTGAGCTAAACAGAAACAACATTTATTTTCAAACTGATCATTTCCATTGCTTCAAGTATTGTTATAGCGTCAATGGCTAGAGTCAATGAAGTAGTTAGTCAATTATGTAATTCCTTCATTCAGCAACAGCACCTACTAATAACTTAGGGTTTTTTGTTTATAGCCAGCAGCGAAATGGTTAATGCACTTCTGAGACTTTGCAAGCTTGTCAATGATAGGGGAAAAAAATGAATGGAATCATAATGACAGGAAGTGGCATCATGCACAGCCGAGCCACTGGGTAATGGATGACCCAAGCCACATGAAGTAGAATAAGAAAATGGCGGCCAAGTTATAGAAAACCCCACTCACCAACCGCAAGTTCCTGACCACGTCTCTCTCCCTTGCCTAGCCCCAGCAAAGAGCAGTGCAAAGAGAGGAGGCATAGGCCAAAGGCCAAAGGTCAGCATACAGGAAAGGGGGGAAAGTTTAGGTGGGTAAAGAGGGGGGCAGGAGGAGGGGGGGGGAGCAGAGAAGGAAAACCAGAGAACGGTCAGACAGGAGCACACAGTTCAAAAAGAGAAGCCAAAGTGGGGTTAATGTGTTAGGACCATGGAGGCGTCTGGTAGATGAGCAGAGACCAGCAGAGCGATGAGCTACTGTAGCAGAAACAGAGTGCAATGCTTCCCGTGAGATCTGCAGTAACCTATTACGCATCATCATAATGTGCAAGCATCCAGTGCTGACTTATTGACTTATTTAAAAAAATCTAAACAACTACAAATAGTTAACATTTCCGGGGACTGGAATGAGAGGTAGGTAAGCAGGGGTTGTCTTAGACAGTTAATGCGTCTTTGTTTACGTTCCAGCTAATGTCTTGTTAGGTTGTGCTATGACCTGAAAGTCTGGCAAATGTTTGCTTTGCTTCAGGGATGGTATACCGGTTTGGATTAGGTAGGTATAAATAAGGGCTAGACTTTTGTTTCTTAGTGTCAGGACTTGGTTCAGAGTGGAGGTTTGGATCGAGTTTGGTTGCATATGCAGAGGTCAGTCCATTTGCCAATCAGAAGTCAGCAGTACTCACCAGTGTCTCCCCAGAGAGGACCTCCAGGAGGGAGATCAGGTTGTGTCCATCTCTCAGGTCTTCATACAGGTCAGTCACCTGACGCTGTGCCTGTGGAACAGAAAGAGAAGGGAGAGAGGTAAGGCAAGGGTTGTCATCACATTTTATTTTTTTGTGCAACACCTAGACAAAATACCTATAAGCCGTGCGCTGTATTTATGTAATAACGTTTTAATATTCTGGATCTGGTTATGATTCTGATTTGATAGGGCACCTAGACATGGGGATCATAAATCTTTCACACATACAGTACCAGTCAAGAGTTTGGACACAACAACTCATTCCAGGGGTTTTCTTTATTTTTACTATTTTCTACATTGTAGAATAATAGTGAAGACATCAAAACTATGAAATAACACATATGGAATCATGCAGTAACCAAAAATTTGTTAAACAAATCAAAATATATTTTATATTTGAGATTCTTCAAAGTAGCCACCCTTTGCCTTGATGACAGCTTTGCACACTCTTGGCATTCTCCGAACCAGCTTCATGAGGTAGTCACCTGGAATGCATTTCAATTAACACATGTGAGTTTGAGCCAATCAGTTGTGTTGTGACAAGGTAGGAGGGGTATGCAGAAAATAGCCCTATTTGGTTAAAGACCAAGTCCATATTATGGCAAGAACAGCTCAAATAAGCAAAGAGAAACAACAGTCTATAATTACTTTAAGACATGAATGTCAGTCAATACGGAACATTTCAAGAACTTTGAAAGTTTCTTCAAGTGCAGTCGCAAAAACCATCAAAAGCTATGATGAAACTGGCTCTCATGAGGACCGCCACAGGAAAGGAAGACCCAGAGTTACCTCTGCTGCAGAGGATACGTTCATTAGAGTTACCAGCCTCAGAAATTGTAGCCCAAATAAATGCTTCAGAGAGTTCAAGTAACAGACACATCTCAACATCAACTGTTCAGAGGAGACTGCCTGAATCAGGCCTTCATGGTCGAATTGCTGCAAAGAAACCACTACTAAAGGACACCAATAAAAAAAGAGACTTGCTTGGGCCAAGAAACACAAGCAATGGACTTTAGACCGGTGGAAATCTGTCCTTTGATCTGATGAGTCCAAATTTGAGATTTTTGGTTCCAACCGCCGTGTCTTTGTGAGACGCAGAGTAGGTGAAATGGATGATCTCCGCATGTGTGGTTCCCACCGTGAAGCTTGGAGGAGGAGGTGTGATGGTGTGGGGGTGCTTTGCTGGTGACACTGTCAGTGATTTATTTAGAATTCAAGGCACACTTAACCAGCATGGCTACCACAGCATTCTGCAGCAATATGCCATCCCATCTGGTTTGCTCTTAGTGGGACTATCATTTATTTTTCAACAGGACAATGACCCAAAACACATCTCCAGGCTGTGTAAGGGATATTTGACCAAGGAGAGTGATGGAGTGCTGCATCAGATGACCTGGCCACCACAATCACCTGACCTCAACCCAATTGAGATGGTTTGGGATGAGTTGGACCTCAGAGTAAAGGAAAAGCAGCCAACAAGTGCTCAGCATATGTGGGAACTCCTTCAAGACTGTTGGAAAAGCATTCCTCATGAAGCTGGTTGAGAGAATGCCAAGAGTGTGCAAAGCTGTCATCAAGGCAAAGGGTGGCTACTTTGAAGAATCTTAAATCTCAAATATTTTTTGATTACTTTAACACTTTTTTGGTTACTACATGATTCCATATGTGTTATTTCATAGTTTGTCTTCACTATTATTCTACAATGTAGAAAATAATAAAAAATAAAGAAAATCCCTGGAATGACTGGTACTATACATATAAAAGTACAAACACAGGCAAACAGATACTTGCAAATGAAAACAGATACTCCAGTGAGTCTTGGGACTGCATGCATGCTATAATCAATTCCAGTAAGAAAGATAAACTGTGATAGTGAGCAGAAGAGGGTGAAAGCTAAGAGAGAGAAGTAGGGAATGACTGAAACTGAAGGATTTAAAAGTAGTTGTTATCCAAATGCAAAGAGACTGCATGCTTCGAGTATGTACTTTATTGCGCAACATATAGTCCACACACTTGAGGTCTGGGGCACGTAACTTGGAAAATCTCCCATTGACGTCAATGCATGATTTACATGACCAAGCCTTAGTTACTTGCACATATTTCAAGTTAGAGTTTGGCCCACAGTCCACAAGGCATAGGCCTATTTCTGTGTGACTGCGTCAGTGTAATTCCTCATACTTTCACAGTGATGGCATAGGTGTGGGGATGGGATAGTGTTCAGGTGGAGGGCCTAGGGGAAGGGTAGAAGGTGGTCTACATGCACATCAGAATGTGTCCCACATACAGTGCACTCCTGCTGGGGCTTGCAGGCAGCTGGTACCTACCTCTGCTTTCCAATGCTGGATGACGGAGAATGAGTGGATGAGATAAAGAGAACAAGGAGAATAGAAAGGGAGAATGACAGAAAGAGGAAGAGAATATGATCATGAGTCTGAGATTATAATGATTACGTATTCAAACAGAGATTTAGCAAAAAGATGAAAGAAAATGGAAAAAGGTTAGATGGATAGAATAAAAGAGAATGGTAAACATAGTTACTAATATTAGTGCTTTATGACACAGTTAATATTGGGAGATTGCATGTAATGCTTTGCCACTGTGTCAGTGTGTTGTTCGATCTTGTGAAAAAGGGGTACTGTCCTCACACAGTTATGTATGCAAGTCTCGCCCCTGCAAGTTGTAACACTCACTACCTTGATTTATTACTGCCATCAATGGTAAGTACTTATATAATACTGTGTGTTATAAGTAGTTATATAATCCTGTGTGTGAACACAGTAACTCACTCCTGCCCACCTGTGGTGTAGACACTCCATCCATGGAGGTTTGAAATGCAGTTAGGGTTTATTATGGCCACTAGGGATCACTGTTTACACATTAATACCGTAAGAGTCTCCAACCTCAACAATACTGGAACTGATGGGACAAGATCGCATAACATTCAAGTGTTTTTCTTCAGTTCAACTGCTTGGGGCTACAAATACGACAGCTATCACTATAGGCCAAATGACCTCAAATCAGTCAATATCCAACTTCAATTCGAAGGCATTCTACAGTGTAATTGTAGTTGTACTGTGAAATGCTTCTCTCTCATTGGTTCCTCTGTGGTAGCTACAACAGTATCTCTCTCTGCTATCCTGTAGCATCTATTTAAACCCTGTCTGTCATCAAAAAACAATAGCCCATGTTGAAGAAGCTCATATTGAGTCAACATGATCAGGTGGTGTCATGGTACAAATTGTGCACTCCAGTCAACTCGAGTCAAGTGATCCATTTGATCTGTGCTCATTGTGAGTACATCAAGGTTTAAACCGTTAGGCCAGTCAACACAGAACCTGATACTCCTCATCCACCACAAACTAGACTTTGCTTTCCCGTTACAAAACACACTTTAGGTGATGTGTCCTTCAGTTAACCTAGGGTTACATGTGTTATTATAATGTTGAAAGGCTATAAAAAATCACACACGTCATTGTATAAGAAAATAGCGATACTTTATGTCTGTCTGGTCTGTACACTTCATTAAAAGTGAATGGGGCATTACATCTACAGAATGATGTAAACTTCAGTGGATTACCCTTTACATAACACTGCAAAATAATGGTTGAGAAACCCTCCATTTTGTCTTCCCACCCATTTTGACACACACAAGATTTATGCATGAGTGGAAGTTATTCCATATCCCTTTACCCCTCATGGCCCGGCCCATCCCCGGGACGCGCCCACTGGAAACGCATTAAAAACATTAGTTCAACGTCAGTTTAACATCAGAAGAGCAGGCTTTCACACGGGAAGACTATTAACACTTTCGTTCTACCGCAAAATGCTATATTAGAAATGATCCTGCATGATGTTTCCAATTATGTTTTTCAAAACCTTGCTTGGGTTGCTATTTCATTTTAATGTCTAGGCTAGTTCTGTAACAATGCATTGCATACCACATATTGTGTACGGTATTAAACAGTTTCTAAGAAGACAGTTCTCTCTAAGAAAGCTCTGAATTAAACATTTGTCTACTTAATGTCAATACATAGCCTACTTAATTCAAACGTTCTAAAATGGTAAAATGTACAGTCATCCCAGTCCATCAAACATTAAATGAGATGCAAATCTTGTCATATAGGCCTACCAATTTTGTCATTATGGTAGTGGGAAAGACAAGAGACACAGATTGATTTCCTCTGATAGTGTCTGTAAGGAACACTTAAAGACCTTGACTAGCAAAGAGCTAAGGGCAGGCAGGCAGTCAGCCACCCAGACCCACATGTGCTACTGTTGGCCCAGCCAGCAGCCACCGGGCCTTGGGCCCAGAACAGAATGTGGTGCTTCAGAGGCAAAGAGCAAAACGAATCCAGATGTCTGTGACTCACATAAAACACTTAACGAAAAGACTGCATGCTTGTGTGTTATATCAGGAACAGAGTATGTTAGCACCACACAGTGCACATACACAGTACATGGAAAGGAAATTTTATTTTGTGTAGCTATTTTTGTTTCTTTTTCAAGGCAAAATTAATGGGCTTGTTTCTTTTGAGGGAGAATGGAGATTTATGATGAGTCCCTTAATGGCTTGGGCTGTAAACGTTGGGTTACTGGTGGGATTTTGTCAAATGAATTATGACACGAGGAAAGCGGGGGTATTTATACATGTACTAGTGGGAGGGGCTGTCGTGGTGGGGGTCATTTTTTTCATTTCTAATGAGAAACTCCAGAGTGAGTTGTTTGGTTTGTTAACCCACCCCCTCCTCTGTAGAGGACCCCTCATTAATTGAATGATTTTCAGCCCGAAGTGAAGGGACAGGGGTGAGGTAGGTGAGAAGAGAATGGTGACAACAGCACAATTTACAAACTCACTCAGTCGAAGAGAGACTGGTCTTCTGATAAACCTTCCCTCAAAACACCAAGCTAGAAACCAAACACTCATGATTTCCAGTAACCTTTCCGTGTGTGTTGCACGTCTGTGTATGACCAATGCATGTCACTTTCAATGAAGCTCTTCGAAAGGGGTGGCCTGTCTGACTATTGTTGTAGTAGGTTGAGATGATATTAAAGAACAACCACTTGATGGTTTGATATCTGTGGATATCTGTCTAATGGGGGATCCAAACTCACCGTCATAATATTGTGTTGTCATGGATACTACCCAGCATGGGATCATGACTTCAATGGCACCTGCATGTTCAGCATGGCTGGACCAGAATGGACCCAGCTCCACTCATAGTAATGCAGTAATGGTTAAATCAGATGGTCACATCTCATCTACTAACATACCAACACAGATATCCCCTATGCCAAAATAATAATGGTAAACATAAGAGGTGAGAACATAGTCTTCCTCTAATACAGAAACTATCTGGGCCTGTGTAAAACTGATCCTAGACCAGCACTCCTACTCTGAGACGCTTTATGAATACGGGCCCTGGTGTTTGTTAAGATTCGTCCCCGTTTTAAATTTGAGAAACGGAACTACACATCCAAAACACAGTAATAAAGTATCTGGCCGGTGTCGTCACGATTCCCGCCAAAGATTCTAGCCTACTCCTGTCATTAGAGGCAAAATGACTTCTGAAGCTAAAGATCCATTTTTTGCAGAGAGGCTAAATTGCAACCGTCAGAAAACACACAGCTCAGCCCCCATGTGGTTGGTGGGCCAATGATGAGGTATGATTCACTAAGGAAACATCTGCCATTTGCCACTCGCACACATCACTTCTGGAACAGTAGTGATCCAACTCCCCATAAATCCTATTTTGACAAATTCTGTGGTTGTTATGCAAGTAACCACTTCAGCCCTTTTCATTAGTTTGATGATATTTGACTGATATTTATGAAATAACATAGGAATACTGATTTTGAAAATGTTGTATGAGTCATTGTGAGAAGTCCAGTAGAAATGTATCAGCTCAGAACCAATATTGAAACAAATCTATTGAAATCAAATAGATGATGGTTAAAAATGAGTCGGTGTGTGTGTCTTTGTGTATAAACTATTGATACCAGTGATGAGTGCATTAAGGTGATTAAGTCAGGGAGAGTGAGTTAGGTATTGAGTTATTGAGCATATAAATGTACTCTGGTAGTGTGTGACCATACCTTTATCAAGTGTTTGTTCACCCATTTTGTGAAGGTCTTTTTCTGTACTCGATCCCGTTCATCTGTAAGACACAACAAAGAGCAAACGTCAGACATGATTATAAAAAACAAACATACCAAGGAAAAATAAAGATTTGATACACCCTCTGAGTACATACAGAAATATTGAGGTATTCTTTACGGGGGTCGAGAAAACTCAGTCTAAATTAAAACAGGTCGCAGGGTATTGGGGATAAGGAGAAGGAGAAGATCAACGGAATTAAAATACCTTTAACATGAACAAGAGCTGAAATATAACAAATATTCTAGATGCCACCATCGTTTTGTTCTTCCCTGAGACAAAGAGATGTCATCATTGGATGGGATTAGTCTAGCCTAGTGAGACGTGATAGCAGAGCGTCTGGACTAAACATGTCTGACTCACGAGACATCATCATAGCACAGTCAGTGTCTAGATATACACCCACATTGTCTAGTTGTGTCTGCAAATGCTTTTCACTATTGTATGACTACAGACAGGGCCTAAGGCTGAGTGGAGGCATTACACTGTACAGGTGTTCAGTATCTCTATAGGTCTAGTACTGTCTGTACACACATGTTGCTACATACTGTAACCGACACTGTTGTGCAGGTTGAACATGACAAGGCATGGGATCTCTCAGAGAGTAAGACAACAGTGCCTTAACGGGCAGATAACCACATCTAGCAGATAGAGGACCGTCTCAGCCTCACCATGCTGAGTGGGATTGCCACACCCTCAGTCAAATACCCGGACACACCCCACTACCCTGGGGTACTGGAAAACATATTGCAGAGCGCAGACGTACCAACTGTAGAGACTGACCCTCCCCAACCAAGAGGCATATCACCAACTGTTAGTCATCATGCCAGACCACTTCACTGAAAGATTGGTTAAATAACGGACACAAAAAATAAACAAAGAAGTCACATTGAGATATACATCTCTTTTTCAAGTGAGCCCATCAGTTATATCAAGTGAGATAGTACCGATGGGCAATCCAATAGCAATTCCAATAGGTCTGTTTTGAAAGTAATACGTCACATTAAAGATAATACTGTAGTTATTGCACTGAAGACTCATTATCCAGATACAAGACATGGGTGTCCATATTAATATTATTTAATTAACACACTGCATGCAAGGTCCTTCAAATAAATCTTTCGTACCACTAAAAGGGGAAAATACCACCCCAACATCATCAAATGTGAAAATGGCGCGTTTCTATGTTTTGTAGTAAATAAAAGATAGAGGAAGATAAATGTTTCCAATGACATCATCAACCAATTAGTAGACAATTAGTAGGCAATGCCTAGTCATAATTGGTTAAAATCACACAACGCACACCAATGATGTCATTGGAAACAGTTATCTTCCTCTATCTTTTTTACCTCAAAAATAGAAACGCGCCATATGTTGATGTTGGGGTGGTGCTGGAGATGATGAATACGAAGTAGATCAAAAATATAAATAAATCCCTTAAAGTGGCAATATGTAACTTTTTGGGCGACCCGACCAAAGTCACATAGAATTGTGAGTTATAGATCTATCATTCTACTTGAAAGCAAGTCTAAGAAGCGGTATTTCTATGCTTCCCATTCTTAAGTTTTACGTCTTTTACTTTCGGTTTTGTACACCAGCTTCAAACAGTTGAATGTTATGGAAAATATATTTCACAGCGGTTTAGATGGTACAATGATTCTCTACACTATACTTGCTTATTTTGTCACATAAAGTGAAATTAGGCGAACTATTAGAGTTTTAGCAACCAGGAAATGGCAGAGCGATTTCTGCATAGTGCAACTTTAAGGAAGCCTCGGGTCTTCAGCTACTCCTATGACAGCTCAGGTAATGTTACTGAATGAACTGTATTTAAAGTGTAAACATGCTATATTAGTTAAACGTTATCAGTCTTACAAGGTAGTGAAAAGCATATTAAGTCCCACTCACAGGCGACGCCCTGCAGAACCAAAGTACAACGGGTGAAGGCAGTGCAGATTCACTGCGACTGCAAACTGAACCCGCAGGCTACGCTTTTGTATTCTCAGGCGCGACCGCAATGTTGCTATTGTGTTATGGAAACACGTTGCCGTGGCAACCATAGGGCGTGTGTGCCTGGAGACTGGCGGAACTTTGACCTCTGTCATTCTCTGTCGTTCATCAATAAAGCTACAATACGAGGGTAACCCTGATTTATGCGGGACACTCCTGTTCACACTTCCTGTGAGGTAAATGATCAAGTATCACGGTCAGGGGGGGGAGACTGATTGGTTGATTGCTAGCATAAATACAAATCAAATTTGGGACGTTTTGCAAAGGTCCCGTAGTCTAGCGACGTAATCCTGGACAAACCCTGCACCTTGACCTGTGGTCATTCAACTAATCCCAGTTTCCCACTGTGTCACCTGATGTTGAAGCGTTCACACACACACAAACACAGTATCAGGTGTCGCTCCTAAAAAACGGGTATTTCTGAGAGTGAGCGAGAGAGAGACAGAGATGATGCCCAAAACAATGTGAAACCAAATACTTGTGTTTGTCCAGCAGTACTGTCCAGCTTGCAATCAGCATACACACTGCACCAATCATGACTCAAGCTAAGACAAACTATTTAAACTGCATTGTGTGATGCCTAAGATAAATTCAAATTCACAATGGCAAAAGGGCCGAAAGCCAACTCCTTGATCCATTGCATGCCAGGGCAGGCCAACGGAGTGGGTTTCAACCTATCTTAAAAGTGGTAATCTAATAGGTCCTCCTGAGTGAGTCACTCTCAGCACTTGATTAATAATTGATCATAAACCAATAGACAAATGACTATTACTCCACTTTTCTATAAAATAACCAGAAGTGAATGGTTGAGCAAGTAAGAAAATATCTATAAATGTCATTCAATAGGAAAAAAGGTATACCCAAACACACTTCAGCCCAGTTTAAACGAAAAAGGGAGTCAGGTGCTCGACTGAGGTACTTGAAATTCCCAAAAACATTCCTTACCCCAGGACATTTCAAAGGGTGACAAACAGGCTCCCGTTTCGGCGTAAAACAACTTCATTAGAGTCCTGAAGGCGTTTTACACCAAAACGGGAGCCTGCTTCTGTACCGTAAATAAATATTTCAGATCTATGAAACAGAGTGCTCCTTTTTCTTTATTCTCCTGGATAGTCAACCCTTGAAGTGTCCTGGGGTAAGGAATGTTTCTATAGGAGTTGTATCAACAATTGTATAGCCCTACTGAGATTTCATCCCCTCCATTTCTCCCCCACATTTTGTGAATGGGTTCGCTGACCAATAGGATGGGAGGGAGCGGCTGATGCTTTATATTAGGGGGAGTGTCCACTCTTGGTCACAATGTGGACCACTGGAGAGACACAGAAAACATTACAGCAAAAAAAAAAAAGTCCTTTTAAATCTAAATGTATCCTCAGAGCTTACCCTTAAGAGAAGGGGAATCCCCATAGATGATGATTACAGAAAGCTCAAACTGTAATTGAAGAGTGCACTAAAGGCTCACAGTGGAAGCCATGAGCCCTCTTTCAATTTAAATTGACACTGGCAGTTGGTATGTATCTTAGCATCATGAAGGGGCTCATATCACATACTAGCCAATCAGGACCTGACTTGAACCTCTGAAAATACTTGTCTGTGCAGGGATCTGAAAATGGTCCAAACCTGTAACTACAGCAGTAAAACATTTCCTTTCACAGGAAAAGAAAAAACACCCAGCATTTTAACTCTCTCCCTTACGCAATCATGAACCATAGTATCAGCGGCAAACTTTTCAAATGAACCTATTTGACACAGAAAGTCTAGGTGTCTATGACACACAGTGTCTAGGTGAACACTGTCATACTCGTATCTATAGAACCAAACTCAAAGTCTAACCTTTTTCATGTACTGTAAACGTCTGACACATAGCTTTCCTAGGTGAAAGCTGTCTCATACTGGTACCTTTCCTGCCGTCCGTAGACTTGAGCATCCCCTGGTAGTAGCCTTCGTCTGAGGGCACCCTGTCCCTTCCATCCCTGCCACCATTGCTATCTGTCGAGAAGTTCCTGTATCTCTGTTGCTGAGAGCTCATGGTGCCACTCAATTCCAAATAAATTAATCAAAAGTCCCCTCTGGCGCGCTCTATGTGACTGCTTTGTCACCACACGGTTTCTGTCGGTAGCTATAATGTTTCTCTCTCTCCTGCTCTTTTTCCTCTTAAAAATTCCTCAGTGCTCCTTTCACTCAGAGGGAGCATGCAGTCGTGTGGCTCAGTTCCAGTCAGCACTTTCGATCTAGCCTATGCTTTTTCCCTCTCTCTCTCGCTCTACCTCCGTATGAGCTCTGCTCTTCTTTTCTTCTCGTTGTGCTGTTTTCTCCCTCTCCTCCTTTCGGAATAAATTATGCCTGTGGGGTACAGAGTCTGGGCCTGTCTATGTGCTGATCTGTACAGTATGTTAACTGCCTGTGTGTTTGGAGGACATTGTGGTGGGTAAGGCTCGGCCACACCCCTTCCTCTGCCCAGTCATATTGGTGTGGCTGGTGAGAGCAGGAAGGGGGCGGGGACAGAGGAGAGCGAGTGATCAGACAAGGTGTGGTGGCCAGCAGGCAGACACCATACTTTTACTTGTCATCTTACCTTCAGTTTACACAAGAGTACACAGTACACACCCTGAATCATTATACTTCGTTACTATAGCTGTATAAGCAATAACAAAGAATGGCACCGGAATAAATAACGCAATATTGTTTTACGGTTTGATATAATTTCATAATGTTTTAGAACACAGTACAATGTCTCCATTGATTTATAATTACTTTTTAACACACACACACACACACCCCAATGTGATTAATCATTGCCTACTCATGGCATTCCTGAGAGAGCTGTGGGTGTTACTCAGTGTGATGAGGAAGAGGACGAGGCTGAGGGAAGGGCTACTTTGGCACCCACACACACTGAGAGATCAGCCATGACCCAACTCTCAACAAGACTATACAGTACTAGCTATTCCCTCATCTAAGGACATGTAGATTCTCGAACTCGACAATTAGTGAAGGAGTACTTATTCCTTCTGCTCTGCTAAAGGCCTGATAGAGAGTGTGTGTGTGTGCGTGTGTGTGTTTTCACATTAACCACACCAGCTTGAATTAAAGTACCCTCATGCACGCTCACAGACCTGATTTCCTCAAACTCAACACTCACATGTAAAGACATTACAGAGACATACCAGCTAGCATCCTTAAGCCAGCAATGATCCTGATCAGTCCTTTATCAGCCTCTAGCCCAGAGATGACCATTCAGATAACTGAAGACACTATATCAGTGAGGACATCAGTGAGGACTTGTTTTGGCTTTGGTGGGGTGTCTCATTCCCTCATAATAACATGGGAAGATACAAAATACACTGAAGACAGACCCAGGTATGAACAGGGGGTATACTACCAAGTAGCATCAAGGAGTTAGCCAGCTTACTTTGATAAACAAAAATAAATAACTTGATTTTCTAGTTCATTAAAAAAGCTAAACTTATATATGTGTTTTTGTTTATTGAATCAATTAGAACATACCAATTTCAAGATCTTTCAACATTTATGAGAATATTTCAGCTAGTTAGTTGACTAACTCCTTGAATCTGCTTGTAGTATACCCCTCAGGGTTTCTAGTCCTGTGTATTTTGGGGCTTCACTGAGTTCCCTTCACTGTGGTCTGACCCCCTATAAGAGCTGTAGGGTGCTGACAGCCAAACCAATGCCACAGGGTGCGACCAACAGGCCCTGGTAAATCCTAGCCCTCTAACCATTAAGAGGGTAGGAGGTATGCATCTCTTTTCCACACCCGTCTGACATAACATTAGGAGGGATGTAAAAAAAAACACTTTTCTTCCCAACGTGAGGTGATTAAGGCATCTTGTTTGAACATGAAGCAGTTGATGAGTCAGGATGTGTGTGTTTGTTTTATTTGACACTAAGTTCACAAAATTTGCAAATTGTGGAGAGGCACACCTTAAATAATAGCTTTGTGTACTTCCACACGTCTAGGCAAGAACAGGAATTAAGGAGGGCAGGCAAATACCATAATACTGCACAGCCCAAGAAATACAAGGGAATAGAACATAGTGCTATAATAACACACACATAATCACACCTCGACAGTGCTGGAGGCTAAACTTAAAAACACTGAGGATCCATATGGTCACCTCTCACAGGGGAGTTTGGATAGTGTAGCATGGGAAAGAAAGGATTAACATATGGTGTCATTGATTTCTATGTGCTTAGCAGACCGCAACACATTAACTGCTACTGATAACTTAAAACAGGTTGGAGTTTTATGGAACAGAGTAAGTTTATGGAATCAAATTTCCATGTGCATGGGATTGAAGGAAAGCTACAAAAGAGGTGAAGTGAAAGGGCTTTGATCATGGACTACTGCTTGTACAGCAACTAACAACAGGAAATGTGTAATGTCACAGGAAGTCCCAAACAAAAGAGCAGCCAACATCAGCGATACCGTGGAAAATCTTACTTATGAAACTGTTTTCTCCAAAGACGCTCCAAAGAAAGATGTATCATTAAGGTCTACACATCTCTCATTGCTAGAATGAGACAGATTAAAGTGTGAGAGTGTCTTGGTGTTCTCATGTGTTCCCACACTGACTCTGAATCATATGTGGACAACCTTAGTGGAGTTGCCAACAACCAGATGCATCCGGTTTTCAGGGATATAGCTAATTCAACCAAGCCAGAGGTGGGAACTCCGCTCAGGTGTTTCTTTTATGCCTGCTACGTTAGATTATATGTGGAGGATGTGGATGGATCATTCTGGTGGAGGGAAGAGGGTGAATCTCCCTGGATCCACCCCTCTAATTTGTATTCCCGATGTTTCCTTCCAAGGCTCATCTATATTCAAAGAACTTAATGAGACTCTACAAAGCCGAACTTTGTCAGATGTTTGTCAGATGTCAAAATGAGTCCACATCCCACACCATCAGTTGTGTATTCAGCTATACATCTCCATCCCAAATAGAAAATAATATGCCGCAAGCCTATACATCTGTAGAAAGTCCCACATGAAAACACCAAACACTCTCCAAAATCAACAGTGGTAGTTGTTTTCCATTTCAAATAGAAAACAACTAGGTTCCATTTCAAATAGCTTCTCATGGAACTCAAACCTATTCACTCACTCAACTCACTCCGTTATCTCAACTCAGCAGAGATAAGCATCAAAGCCATTTCATGAGCCACAAAACGGACTGAATCATGGAGCGACCTCCTAAACTTGTCCAATAAGTAAGGTTTGTTTCAGCTTTCCGTTGCAAAACCTCCGCAGAGGTAGAAAAGTGTCCCCTGCAGACATTCTAACCCAGAGTTTAAGGGGAGAGGAATGGAGAACCATCCAAAGTAAACAGAAGATATTCACAACACTATTCCGGCCACGCCCTATCGGTTTAAACTCTTTCACAACTGTAAACGGTCACATAAATGCAATGCTATTGCCTGACCCTTCAAAGTTGGAACGTCAACGTCATTATGCTCTCCATATGAGTGTTTGTTCAGTTCGTGGCTCATGTCAAGTTCATCGGTAAAAATCATCAGGTCAAGCATCTTTGACTCAGACGATCGGTCTTGTAGTCACAGGGAACATGATTCCGTAGGAAAACAAACAGAGATGAAAAAAGAACAGAAATCCGCCATCATGGTTTAGATAGTCTTGAGCTCATGGAGAGAGAAAAGGTGAGAACAGGGGAGGAGAGGAGGGGAGGGTTAACGCCCCTCATTCCAGAGAAGGGAGCAGCCTCACCCCTCCCTTAGAGTGACATCCACCTCCCTCAGGATACCTTGCGCTCACTGACTCTCTCCCTCCCACTGTCCTGTCACTCCAGCCCAATGCAAGTGGGAGCGTGTACTCGAAATGTTCATAAAATAAAACCAAGCGGAACAACCGGGATACACCTTGTTCCTGACTGTGTGTGTGTGTGTGTGTGCGCACACCCAGTTTGGGTCAGCTGTGTCTCACAAAGAAATAGAAATCAAAGGAACTACAGCAAAGTGTACCTGTGAGATATTCATAAAGATCAAGAGTCATATCGTCCAGTCTTTATTGCACTTTTTCTGTCTGTATATCAGGACATGAGGGGATTGTTGCCATAGCTATGGAATGACTCACTCACTGCCCGACATTATCTTCACAGATCTAAATCCCTGTAGCAGGATGAAACGTCATAGTCAGAATTAGATCAAAAGATGAAGCTATAAGCCCAATTTAATGCCGACTCAACAAGGAATGGATTAGCCCTGACAGCTGAGGTTGATAATGGCTAATTAGTCTACCGCTCCTGGAGCCATGGTGGAAAGCCCCACATCTGTGAATTAACGCTCACTCTCATGGACTTTCCTTTAGTAAACTTACACAGAGAGAATAGTGAGCCTGTTTAATCAAGGTGTAGGTACAGTACCTGTACAATACAACACCCAGTCTCCCTCTATTGGAGATGGTATCATACTACACCAGCCTATGCACTCAATACGTACAATATGTCTCCCGTGACCGGGAGACCCATAGGGCGGCGCACAAGTCGTCCAGGCTAGGGGAGGGAACGGCCGGCAGGGATGTAGCTCAGTTGGTAGAGCATGGCGTTTGCAACGCCAGGGTTGTGGGTTCGATTCCCACGGGGAAGTATGAAAAATATAAAAAAGAATGTATGCACTTCACTAACTGTAAGTCGCTCTGGATAAGAGCGTCTGCTAAATGACTTAAATGTAAATATTTTTCGACTGAGGGCAACAGACACTTTATTCAAAGTATGGAAATTACACATTGCTACTGAGAATACCTGTCAAAAAAAATCTAACAAAAATGTCACTCACACTTCATTCCCTATCCCTTCAAAAATCATCATTACTGGTTTCCATATTGTATCAACTTTAGCTGAGGGCTGAATCGGGAATTATCTGACCGATGGTACATTTGAATGTGGAAAAAGGGGAACCTGAGAGGGGTTGCTGTGGCAACATCTCCAAACATATGGTAGCTTGTTGCGCCTGTGGCTGGGTTATTTTAGTTCTTACTCATGGCTGTATTTTTAGACT